GTAGTTGGCACTTGAACACCTCAAGCATTGGCCTCTCTTCGAGTGCAGGTAACGTTCTTGGTGACTGAAGACCCGTCAAGGGTTCAGGGCCGAACGCGGCGTGAGGTCTTATCCCCTCAGCGTTTTGAGCCGTACGAAGCCGTGGCCTTAGCCTCAGGAGGAGAGGTGATCTTCACCAAAGACCAGTACATTCAGGATGTGGCAGCCATTGTGGGGGACAGCACGACTGACCTGGTGAGCAAGTGTGGGGGCCAGAGGGACAAGTGCCCTCAGCTCAGAACTGAGAGGCCGGGTAACGCTATAGCCTTTTCCTCATAGGAAGTATGGTGCCCATGACTGTGCTGCAGTTCCATTCGGAAGGGCGGAAAAGCAAGTTTCTCTGTCCCTGAGATTCATGGCTGCCTTTAACCTTCTTCCTTCCACTTAGCACCACCCCTTCCCCTTCTCTGGCCTCCTGTATTCTGTCCTAGGGCTGTCGTGGAAGTTCTGCCCTCTTTTTTTTAAGATTTATTTATGTATGCGTACAGAACTGGGGTACAGGCCAAAGGTGCAGGGGTGGTGAGAGGATTCACTAGAGACAGAGTGGGGAGCAGAACAGGGAGACTGACAAAGTACACTGCTGAGGGGAGCAGTGGGCTGGTTAGGAGTGGTCTGCTGTGCCATGTGGGTTACCTCAGAGCTGGGGATCGAACTTGCACTGAAGCAGCTTCGGCCAGCTTGCAGTGCTGCGTCCTAACCCCTTGTGCCACCACAAGGGTTTTTTTTTTTTTTTTTTTTTTTAAGATTTATATTATTTATGCCTACAAGAACTGGGCTGTTGGCCAGAAGTGCAGGGGTAGAAGGTGGGAGGCTTCACCAGAGACAGAGTGGGGAGCAAGACAGGCAGATCCACTGAAATACACTGCTGAGGGGAGCAGAGGGTGAGACAGGAGAGGTCTGCTGTGCCATGTGGGTCAGCTTCCTGGCTGGGGATAGAACTTATGCGGCAGTAGCTGCGAATAGCTTCATAGAGCTGTGCTTTAACCCATTGTGCCACCAGGGAGGGCCCCAGAACCTAGTTCTACTAGCTTCATTCCAGGATTCCAGGCTTATTTTCTTCCTTCCCTGCCCTCCCTTGCTCTACCCATTCCCCTGCGGCTGCCGTTCTTAACAGCAGTGCTTTCCTCTCTGCCAGCTGGCCCTGTTGCACACCCCCCCACTTTCAGACATCTTCGTCTTCACCGATGCCTCCCCCAAGGATGCTTTTCTCACCAACCGCGTGGAATCTCTGACTCGGGAGCGGCGTTGCAGAGTGAGCACAGCTGGTGGGAGACCAGTGTTAGCCCCCCAGGGATGTGGAACCCTAACAGGGATCACACCACACTGCTGGTTGAACCAGACTTGGCATGGGCTGGGAGAAGCAGACAGCAAGTATGTCCCCTTTGGCAATACTGAAAAGGAGGCCTTGTCCTCAGTGACGCTGGTTCATAGTTGAACCTGCCCCACTATAGCATCCGAAGAACTAAAGGTCTAGTTGCCAACAATTCATCATGTGGGTGACAGGGTGACAGTTACAAGGGATGGGCAGCTACTAACTGAAGGCTGCTGGTTACCACATTGGGGGACCCTTGGGTAGCAGCCAGAGGAGAGAGAACTTCCACGAGTCCTCAGCACCCTAGAAAGCTTGGGCACAGAAATATCCTCACTTAACAGTAGTTGGCACTTGAACACCTCAAGCATTGGCCTCTCTTCGAGTGCAGGTAACGTTCTTGGTGACTGAAGACCCGTCAAGGGTTCAGGGCCGAACGCGGCGTGAGGTCTTATCCCCTCAGCGTTTTGAGCCGTACGAAGCCGTGGCCTTAGCCTCAGGAGGAGAGGTGATCTTCACCAAAGACCAGTACATTCAGGATGTGGCAGCCATTGTGGGGGACAGCACGACTGACCTGGTGAGCAAGTGTGGGGGCCAGAGGGACAAGTGCCCTCAGCTCAGAACTGAGAGGCCGGGTAACGCTATAGCCTTTTCCTCATAGGAAGTATGGTGCCCATGACTGTGCTGCAGTTCCATTCGGAAGGGCGGAAAAGCAAGTTTCTCTGTCCCTGAGATTCATGGCTGCCTTTAACCTTCTTCCTTCCCCTTAGCACCACCCCTTCCCCTTCTCTGGCCTCCTGTATTCTGTCCTAGGGCTGTCGTGGAAGTTCTGCCCTCTTTTTTTTAAGATTTATTTATGTATGCGTACAGAACTGGGGTACAGGCCAGAGGTGCAGGGGCGGTGAGAGGATTCACCACAGAGTGGGGAGCAGAACAGGGAGACTGACAAAGTACACTGCTGAGGGGAGCAGCGGACAAGACGAGAGGTCTGCTGTGCCATGTGGGTCAGTTCCAGGGCTGGGGATCAAACTCACACTGAAGCAGCTGCAGCCAGCTTGCAGTGCTGCGTCCTAACCCGTTGTGCCACCAGGGAGGGCCTTCCTGCCCTCTTTTTTTTTTTTTTAATAATATAATAGTTTATTTTTACATTATTTTGTGCCTTTTTCCATCTCAGTTGTAATCCCCGTGGGCTTCCCATCACCACATCACTCATGTGCCATCACCATAGTCCAGTGCATTTCCCTCCCCCCACTGTTTTTGATCCAATTCCCCACTCCACCCCCACAAAATGTCTCTGACATTTAGAGACATTATTATTCTTTTCTTGTATGGTCCGTTATACTCCTGCTATGAGTGAAGCCATCCGGTATTTTTCCTTTTCTTTTTGGCTTATTTCACTAAGCATGATCCCTTCCAGCTCCATCCATGTTGCTGCAAAAGACATGTGTTTACTTTATTTGGTTGCTGAGTAATATTCCACTGTATATATGTACCACGTCTTTTTAATCCAGTCAACTACTTTTGGACATTTGGGCTGTTTCCACGTCTTTCCAATTGTAAATAAAGCAGCAATAAACATGGGGGTGCAGGTATCTTTTTGATTCAGTGTTTTTGTGTCTTTTGGGTAGATACCTAGGAGTGGGGTTGCTGGGTCATCTGGAAGCTCCATGTTTAGCAGTTTGAGGAACCTCCAGGCAGTTTTCCATAGAGGTTGTACTAGTTTGCATTCCCACCAGCAGTGCAGGAGAGTTCCTTTTTCTCCACTTCCTCACCAACATTTGTTGTTGCTAGTTGTTTGCAGATGTGCCTTTCTCACTGGGGTGAGGTGGTATCTCACTGTGGTTTTAATTTGCATCTCCTTTATTGCAAGTGATGTTGAACATTTCTTCATATGCTTTTTGGCCATCTGCATTTCCTCTTTGGAAAGTGTCTTGTTAGCTCTTCTGCCCATTTTTTAATGGGGTTGTTTATTTTTGTTGAGTTTCATCAGTTTTTTATATATCTTTATGATCAATCCTTTATCGCTAGTTTTGTAAAAATTTTTTTCCCTATCGGTGGGCTGTCTGTTTGTTGTTGTTGTTGTTGTTTTTTTTTGTCTGTTTGTTTTTTATAAATTCTCTTTGCTGTACAGAAGCTCTTTAACTTGTTATAGTCCCATCTATTTATCCTTGCCTTCACTATCATTGCATTGGGTGCTGTATCTTCAAAAAAGTCACTGAAGTGTATGTCGTGGAGTGTTTGGTCCACCTTTGCTCATCCTGCCCTCTCTGAAGAGGGATAAGAAGTGATTGTGTCATCCCTCACCCTGACTTCCACCTTTGTCATTGGTCTTCATTTCATTCCCAGCTCCTTCTCTCGTTGGTGTCCCTTCTCCAAGCGTGACTCAATTTCTTTCTGTCTTGTTTCCGACCTCATTTCATACTTTATCTTTTCTCACGAATTTTGGTCCACCCGTCCCCCAAGGTGACCCTTCCCCTGGAGCGTTCTGCTGTGGTGCCTGGGAGGCCACTTGTGTTCAGTGTGGATGGGCTGCTCCAGAAGGTCACAGTTCGGATCCATGGGGAGGTCAGCAGCTTCTGGATCAGAAGCCCAGCAGGTGTGTCCATGTCTCAGGATAGAGGGAAGAATGGAGACTGGGAGGGGGGGAATGTGCTAAGGGGAAGGAATTGTCTCCTGAGATAATCACTTGTTTTCCCCTCACCGTCCACCCCCAAGGAGTCTCCCAGGGTCAGGAGGAAGGCCAGGGGCCTTTAGGTCACACTCGTAGATTTGGGCAGTTCTGGATGGTGACCATGAGTGACCCCCCACAGACAGGAACCTGGGAGATCCACATCACAGCTGAGGGCACTCCCCGGGTGAGAGTGCAAGGTAAGGAGGGAGCTCCCAGGGCAGGCCTTCGGCTTAGAGAGCAGTGTCTTCACCTGCACCCCCCGCCCCCCTCTCAGCCCAGACCACTCTGGACTTCCTCTTCCACTTTGGGATCCCCGTGGAGGATGGCCCCCACCCTGGCCTCTACCCCCTGACTCAGCCTATTGCAGGTAATTAATTCTTTAATTTTATATATATTTAACTTTTTATTGAGTTTTAACTTACATAAAATGTACTAAACTAAGGGTACAGCGGGATGGGTTTCACTGAATACACCCACGTCACCATCACTCAGTACCATGTGGTCTATTTACAGCCTATTTCCCCTCTGACCCTCCCACCCATACCCCTTTGTTACCCCTTTAATGTTCATCCCCCACCCCAGGGTAACCCTATTCCAGCAGCCATTGATCCTTTCCCGGTGTCTCAGCCTTGCGCAGACCACCGTTCTGGCCTCTGTCCCAGGTCTCCAGACCCAGCTGCTGGTCGAAGTGACAGGGCTGGGCTCTGGGGGCAGCTCTGGAGAGCCGCTGGTGCGTTTCTCCCACGTCGTCCTTCGAGGGGTCTCGGATGGCGTGGAGCTGGGCCGGGTGCCTCTGGACCCCACTGGACCCCCGGAGCGAGGTCTCTTAGCTGCAGTGCTCGGGCCCACCGTCCTGCCAGCGCGGGAGCCCTTCTCTCTGGAACTGATTGGTCAGGACGCAGGGGGGCAGAGCCTGCACCGGGTGGCCCCCCAGTCCTGCACTGTGGCCCCCATCCTTCTGGAGGTGAGAGGTGAGGTGGGGTGGGCTGCGGCTAGAGAGCCCCGAGCGTTTCTTCACCTGACCGCCCTCTGCAGCTGAGTGGTCCCCCGGGTTTCCCAGTCCCGGGCAGCAGGGTCCAGCTCAGCCTTCGCGTCACCAGCTTCTCAGGCCCTCAGGAGCTGAAGCTTAGGACGTTTGTCAACCCCGGCTTTGCTGTCACCTCCAACCTCTCCAGGTGAAGCCCGTGGTCCCACCTTCTCCCTCCAGACCCCCCTTTCGGTTAGGCATAGGGTCCTTGAGCCTGGCCTCTGGCCCCTAACAGAACTGACCCTCAGGTGCTTCCCCTGCCTCTTGGCTCCAGCCCTTGGCTCCCAGCTATTGGGAGACTGTGCTTTGTGCCTGTGTCCCCTGTCCAGGGCTCATCTGGAACGGAATGAGTCTGCCTGGGGACACATGTGGTTGGAGGTCCCGGACTCTGCTGCCCCAGACTCCATGGTAATGGTGACTGTGACCGCAACCGGCCAGGAAACCAGCCCAGTGACCCCAACTCACGCCTTCCTCAGGCTCCTGGTATTGGCCCCTGCCCCACAGGTGAGGTGCACCCCACTTTCTAATGCAGGGTAGGCAGGTCAGGGGGAAGGTGGTGTAGACTTCATTTGAGTACAGGCACCCTAACAGTCTCTTCTTCACCCCAGGACCAGCACGCAGCCACCATCCCGCCCCACTCTCCTGGCCCCATCCTACTGAGGCCTAGTCCCTCCTTTCATCCTTCTACATTCGTGACTCTGGGCAGGGCTGCGGGGGTGCTGGCAGGCCATCTCTGGTGGGGCACTGTTGGAGGGGTGCTACTCCTGCTGGGCCTGACCTCCTGCTGACACGCCTCCTGGAGGGCCACTTCCATCGCTCTCACACCTCGCCCCTAGGTGACAAGGTGACCTGCCTCAGTACCCTGCCCTCCATCTGGAAAGGAGGTTTTCCTTCTTGCACTTGCCCCCTCCCTCTTCGGAAGAGATTTCCCCACAGTGTACTTTCCTTGACCCTGTGGAATCAAACCAAAGACTCGTTTTGGGAGAAAGTTGCTTTTGAGTTCTCCTCAGCACCTTTTTTCTACCACTTATCCATGCTCAACAACGCTCAGGGGGAGGGGAAGCTATTTGGGGAGGAGACAGCCTGCGCTGAGTGTGGGTACTAGGAACTGTTACTTATAGAATTGTTTTTATTTGAAATTCTGGAGAGGCTCCTATTTTTATATTTAAAGTTGAAGGACCATTTCAATAGTCTTGTCCCAGAGAGACTTAAAAACAAAATCATATAGCAGAGAGTTGAGGGCACCCAACACCAAGATGAAATGGAAGTTTTCATTAGCTGAGAAGGAAACAGTGTTTGGAATTTGGTTGACCTACTACATGGAGACATTTAGCTGTTGGGCCCAGAAGGAGCAGAATGAAACTGGGGGTTCTGACATAGTGTCCCCATTTCCAACTAAGGGAAATGAGAAAGGGCTTTAGACCCGGGTAGGACCCCTCCATCCCTTGGGGCAATCCAGCTGAACCATCTCCCTCTTCGGCTGAATGACTCCTTTCTGCCACGTGGACAACTCCTAAGGAAGAGAAGAGAAACAGTTTGGACATCTGTGCCCACTGCAGCGTTACCCCTCACTACCACACCCCCCCAAAAAAAATACACCACATATTTAGTTTACCTGTTGCTGCTACCAATTCTGCTTCTTTGGCTTTCCATTCCAGTCCTAGGTGGCAAGGAACTAGCCTTGACCAAGGGCCATGGGGAGATCTGAGGGGAAGTGAGTTTTTCTGTTAAGTCAATGCCGATCCCGTGATTCCTTCCTGCCATCACTTCTCAAGAATTTCAACTAAAGAAATAAACTCACCTTTTCCTGAATCAGATGCCACAAACACGTTCACCTTTTGAATCCTAGCTAACTGGGAGCCACCAGGTTCTGAGTACAAATCTGTTAGAAAATCCTAGAGGAAGAGTTGGAGGCTGTTAACATGTAGAAAATTTGAAACCCACCTGTGACTCTTCTGTCACCACAGGCCAACCCTCCTCTCCAGCTGGGCCCCCTCCCCACCTCCCGGCCTCCTCCCCTCTCCAGGCAGGAGGAAAGTTGAATACCCTCCATCGCTAACAGTCCAGCTCCTCTCAGGATGCACAGTGCCCCTTTCCCATTCTTGCCAGGTCCTCCCTGTCCATCCCTGACCCAGTAGAATAATCCAGCCACTCCCCATCATGGAGTGATCTAAATTGGGCCACAGTAAGTGGAATGCAGACTCGCCTCTAATCCCATTAATGAGCACCAGCCTCACACTTGGGGTATCCCATCCTTCCCATGCTGATTCCAAGTCACGGTCCCCGCCCAGTAACTCTTGCCAGGGTCATCTCGGGCTGTGTCCACAAGGCCCTGCTCCCCATCTCCATACACCTCACAGCAGCCCCGTACCTCACCAGGAGCCCCCAGATACAGCTGCTAATGCTGTGCCTGTTTAGCCGTCCCTCAACCCAGGCCTGGCCATGCTCCAGCAGCTCTATCCCCTGCCACAGGGCCTCCGGTACCCTCTCCAGCGCGTACATTCTCTGGAAAAGGCAAGAAGCAAGAGACTACTTGCTCTGCAGCTGGGCTCTGGGCCATGGCCCTTTTTCTCAACCTTGGTTGGGTTCACTGTCTGGTCACTGAGTGAGAGCGCAGACTGGCCAGTGAGATCCCAGAGGGCAGGAAACAGCAGAGGGCAAGACTTCTGACTCCTTAAAATGGGGAATATGAGAGGCGGATCTAGCAACAGGGGCTTCCCCTGGAGCCTCCTGATTAACTAACAGCCTCCCAGCAGCAGCTCTGGGCCCACGGGTCTTGCTGGCTTGTCCCCAGAGGCAGCAGCAGGACTGCGTAGGGGCCGGCACCAGGGCAGCATAGGGCCCTGGCTCCCCATGGCTCTGAGGAAGACTAGTCCCTCTCTTCCTATCCCCCCAACCCCCTCACCCATCTGAGCTCTCCCTGCTGAGGTTGAGCTGTTCACACTTAGGGGAAAGATCATCTCTTGGGCTCCTGTGTTCCCTGTCATCTGGTTTTTGCTTTCCCACCTCTCCCCGCCATTTTTTTTAAACATTTTAAAAATTGATAATGTGTTTTAGAAGGGTCTGTTTAAGTGGCTGGTTCTCAGAACCCTTGAGCAGAACCCAAGGCTCTCCCTACAGCGGTGTAGCTGCATTTTTAATGAAGCATGTTTGATCTCCTTCCTGTTCTTGCCTTGGATAGTCTATGGAAACAAACAAAAACTTTTTCTAAAATAAACTTTATTCCTAACATGAAACAAAATTCCCAGGAAAGTGAGAGCTCTTGTCTGCAGGAGGTGAAGGAAGCGGGGCATGGCCGCCCCTGGCCAGGGGAAGGAGGCAGGCGGCCCAGCAAGACTCAGAGGATGGCGGCGGCGGCAGGCAGCACCTCCTGACTCATGAAAATGTCCAGGTCCAGGCTGGGATCTTCCAGATCCAATTTCAGAAACTTATCTACCAATGTCTGGCAACTGAGGGGAGAGAGCAGGGAGATTCATGGGAGAATGTCTAACTGAGTTCCTCACAGAGAACAGGAAAGCTGGAACCTTGGAAATTTAGGGTTAGGAAGAAATCATGGATTTTTGAAGGGCAGAGGCTGGCTGAGTCTTAACAGGTGGAAAAGGGCTGGAGAACATGCTGGCAAGAACAGGGAACTTGGGTCACACACACTCACGTCACCATTTGCTTCTCCTTTAGTAATGCCTTGATGGGCTTGATGGGTTTTCCACTGAGTATCAAGTCAGAGACCTAGAAGGGCAGTGGGTGGGTGGGTGGGGGGGAACTAAGTCAGAGAAAATAAGGGTCAGAAACACCATAAGCCCTGAGGGCAGAGGGATGTGGCAGGGGCCCTGGGGGAGCTGGTTGGCTTCCAGAATGCATCACCTCCTTGCCACGAGCAATGAGTTTGTCAGGAAGCCCGGCCTGGGTGGCTGTGTGGGAGGCATGGGTGGCGCTGGCCACACCTTGGCAAACCTGATAGAAGAAGACAAGATCGTCGCCATCCTCACAAGTCTCCATGGCCTTGGAAGAGAATAAAAGAGAAAGCATGTCATGGCTCTGCTTCCTGCTCTGAACCCTTCAGTCAATCCCTGAGGGGAATGAGGGAAGAGGAGGTCTTGGGACCTGTGGGGCGGGTCCCCTAGCTCTGGGAAACGCACAGCCTGGGGGCCCACAGGAGGGTAGATTGGTTTCCTCACCAAATAATGCACAAGCGGCCCTTGTGGGAGCAGCTGCAGCGCAACAAGGCTCAGAAAGTTGGTGGCTACAAAGACGTGGGGGCACATGGGTCCAAGCGCCAGCCAGTATCTGAGCACTGCGGCCAGAAGCGCCAGCCCATCCACCTGTGCAGAGGGCAGGGTGAGGAGTGGTACCCTCAGTGCCCCATGTGCCCCTCTCCACCTGCCCAGCCTTTCCCCATGTTTCATTGCTGCCCAAACACCCTAGTCCAGCCTCCAAGTCACGCGCCTTCCTCCTCCACTCCCCCGTTTAGTCACTGGCTCCTCTCACCGTGTTGGTTCCCTTTCCAAATTCATCAATGAGGACCAGCGAATGCTGTGTGGCGTTGTTGACAGCTTTCGCCACCTGCTGGGAGTGGGGGGGGGGGCGAGAGGGGGAGTGGTCATTAGCATCTGAGGCAGGGATGTTCCAGGTCCTGTCAGCCTTTGAACAGAGCTGCCCGCTGTGTGTCCACCAGCTGGACACAAGTTCCTCCACGCCAGCTGTGTGTGGTGTTTACCCTCTCATTGCCAACTGGGCCCGATGCAAGGTAACATTCAGTAATGCTTCATGAGATTAAGTCTCCAGTCTGAACTGGATGCTCCGGCCCTAGATAGAGGCCCTGCAGTGGGGAAAACACTTCCCTGTTCTGCCTGTTCTAATGATTTTTCAAGAGTAACCTTCCTTCCCCATTATCCCCCTTCACCCCTTCCACCTCCTTTTGCTCGCTTTGACCTGATTGAGGTCGATCATGAAGGTGGAGAGGCCAAGGGAGACAGACTCGCAGCTATGAATTCGGGTGAAGATGGCATCCACTGCCCCAATTTCGGCTTCTTCTGCTGGCACAAAGCTGCCCACCAGGGCCATAAACGTGATCAAGCCCACCTGCACAGGGGAGAGACAGGGCCTGGGGCCTGGTGGTGTGAACTGAGAAGGTGAAGCTAAACTGAGGGGAAAGTGATAGATGGAGGACAGACCGATAGATTTAGGAGAGATGGACACAATTTACTATATCAGAGCCCTATATTCGTTTTAGAATCAGGCAAGAGGGACACTTGGGAATGACACAGCCCTATTCAGAGGAGGGGGAGGGCCTTCCCATCATAGGACGTCTATTAGAACATGGCTCTCCCTCAACTAGAGAACGGACCGTGTAAGGTAGAGCAGCAGGGATGTGAGTTATGATCTCATGAAAGGTGGGGTCAGAGCACAGCAGGAGAACTGTAGGGACCCCGTTGGCTAGAAGACGGGGGATAGCGACCATGAGAACATGCCAGAGGCCATGTCTGTAGGGAGTCTCCCACCTGTTTGAGGTATATGCTCTTCCCTGAGGAATTGGGCCCAGTGATGACTTTGACTCTGCCTTTGTCCTCACCACATTCTGTAGAGTTGGGCACGAAGATTCGGGCACAGAGCTCCATCAGAGGGTGTCTGCAGTGGGTTCAGAGTTACCTTGCACATGACCTGTGGGTCCAGATGGATGAACCACATAGAAGCTGGAGCCTTTAGGCCCCTGTGTCTATGCCTCCAGCCCTTCTGTTCTTACCTGCCATTCTGGATTCGTACCCCAAGGAGTTGGGGGGAGTAACGGGGCCTCGAGTAGCCATAGTCCCGGGCAGCACTGGCAAGAGCCAGCAGGACGTCCAGGCGGGAGGCAAGGTCCAACACTCGGGTCAAGACAGTTGCTCGCGCCAGCACCTGACACTGCAGCTGGTACATCAACAGGGATTCCTGGTCTGGGGCAGGTGAGGGAGGGGGGTCAGTGCCAGGGGAGGGGAAGGAATGATGAAAAGGCCAGCAGAGGGACCTGGAAACAGGCCTGCAGATACCATCTGAGACACCCCAAGGCACTCAGAGAGAAGGCAGAGTGAGACAGAGGAGCTTGTCAGAATCATCTCCACGCTTCTGGCCAGTCTCCAGCCGTTGCTTCTCCTCACCCCGGATGTCGCAGTGCAGGTCCCCCAGCAATGCATCCAGCTCCTTGGTTCGAGCACTACGATAGTGGAGCTTCTCCTCCGAAAGAAACTGGGTACAGGGTTGAAAGCTGTGGACTTTGGTCCTCATCCTCTCCCACCTACACCCGCGTCTAGCCCCTACCATTTCTTTCTCCTTTGTCTCAGAGACAGCAAAGATTAAAGTGCAGGCCCTCCTTGGTGGCACAAGGGGTTAAGTCTCAGCTACCAAGCTACCAGCAGCCATTGCAGTATGAGCTCCATCACGGACCAGGGAGCTGACCCACATGCCGCAGCAGACCTCTCCTGTCTCATCACTGCTCTCCTTAACGGGGCATTTCAGTCAAGCCACCTATTCTGCTCCCCACTATGTCTCTGGAGAATACTCTCACTCTCTTACCCCTCGCCCCTCTACAACTCTGTCCTACACCCCAGCTCTTGTATGCATACATAAATTAAAAAAAAAAAAAGGTCAAAGGGCAGAAGATCCCATACTGGGCAGTGCTGATGTCTCTCCCTCAGCTGCTGATTTGCTTTCCTTATCACCCCCTACAGAAGCCAAGACTCTTACCATGAAGTCCAGGCCCTCGATCTCAAAGTCACTGGCCTCCACCATGGTAGGCAGGCGGGGAATGGAGAGGAGGAAGCCGATCTGGAGGAGTAAAGAAGAGATAAAACAGAGAATGACCTACTGGGCACATTTGTCCCTAGAGTAAGTCAGGAATCCCTGAATCCCTCAGTGCTTCCCTCAGGGGCTAAAGCCATCTCCAAAAGTTTTCTTTTTTTTTTTTTTTTTAAGTGCTGCAGTGGCTGGCATAGGTTGGTAGCGCTGTTCTTAGCCCCTGTACCACCAGGGAGACCCTCCAAAAGTTTTTTACCTACCAGTTTGTCCTTCACAAGCCTACTATCTCCCCTACTAAGCCTCTGGCAGTTACAGCCACTTTCCTGCCCTCACCAGAGGGATGTAGATGACACTGCATGAAGGAACACGAGAGTCCAGATTTTCCAGTTCCTTCCAAGCAACCTCAGTGAGGAAACTGGGAAGTCCCATCAGCTTTCGTTTTTCTAGGAGGGAGGAAGATGCATAAATAGCAAAATAAGTTTCCTGTCCAGATGGCTATGATTACTCCGGTTGCAGGGGCTGCCTTTAAGGATGGTATCCCTCCCCCATCCCCCCAGAGGGCCTGTATTTCAGGGCTCACATGCCCACTGCATGTCCAACTCACTCTTGTCGATTTCAGGATCTATGTTGGGGAGGACTGTGAAGCGATTTTGAGCAAGACTGCTCTCAAAGTCCACCTGAGGAGACAAGAAGTCCAGTTTCTTCTCACCCAGGACCAGCTCTCAGTCCTGCTTCTTACCTCACTCGGGCCCCCCTCTCCCTGCAGTCCTTGCTTTCTCCCTCACCCTCCAAACCCACCCCTGACATTCTCTACCTCTTCTCACCGCTTCACTCTTCAGTCACCCAATGTCTCCTGGGCATCCCTGTCTTCCACACACATTTTCCAGAGCCTGGCCCATTTTCCACCCATCTCTCCTCTAGGCCCCAAGGACTCTGCTTCTTTTCTCCCACTCACCACTTTCCCAATGAGGCTGGCAATGTGGTGCAGGTCATCAGAGAACTCATGGGCAATGTCATGAAAGAGCTGGATAGACTGCGGCAAGGAGCGGCAGGCATCCCTCAGGCCCAGAGCACTGTACACAGTCTGCAGGAGAAGTGGGCAAAGGAAGGTGCCCACACCCAGGCCTCAGGGACAGGGGTGGGCTGAGATGAAAGACCAACAGGGAAAGACATAATAGTAAAGATGGAAAAGGTCTCAAAGGCAGGAAAGTGCGGCAAAGACAATTCCAGTGTGGTCACTGTCCTATGATTATTTAGCTCATTAGTGAGAAAGAAATACACCAGAGGATTTGAAAGTAATAACTGGTAGGTGCTTGGCCAGATGTTTGTACAAACTCCCAAGACAGGAGTTCATACAAAGGAACGGGAAGGAGAACCAGACACAGGGAAGGCAGGGAGGTATACAGGCAGGGGGCAGTGATAGCTGGCGTACGAGACAGCAGGGCGAGAGGAAGGGCAAGTCACTGGCACTCAGTTCCTGCGTGAAGGTCAGTGGCTGGAGGTGGCTGCTCTAACCATGGATGTGACTGACAGGAAAGCCTAGTCCACAGGACATTTATTGGGCATTACTCTGTGGTGGAAGATAGATGGAGTCGGTAAGTCAAAGGTTTAGAATCTAGGTCTAGGGGAGATGAGGGAGGACAAGCGGCAAAGACAGTGAGTTTGACTAAAATGACTAAGGAAGTTCAGAGAATAAGATTAATGTGGGCTAACATAGTTAAGGATTTACTGCAGAAAAAAAAATTGATTTGGGTCTTACTAAGGCTTTCATCAGGAAGAGGGTGTTCTGGGTGAAGGCAAGAGTCTAGACCAATGATAAAGGTAAGAAAAAGAGCTAATGCTTACTATTGTGTTCTAATTTCATTCACTCCTCAAAATAGTCCTAGGTGACAGGACTAGCATTATCTCCACTTGACAGATGAGCAACCTGAAGTGCACATCGACAATACCCTTTGTCTAAGGTCCCCCATAGAGTAAATAGAAGAGCTGGGATTTGAACCCAGCATCAGGCTACCATGAGCAGGACCGTGGTGTTCTAGGCAAATGCTTAAATGCAGGACCAGGCCTGACTGAAGCAAATAATGGCAGTAGAAAGAGATACATAATCATACACATCTGCTCATGATAAAAGAAAACTGAAACTCCTTGAGGTGCTAAGTAAACACTCTGTGCATAATATGCATAATAAGAACCAGATTTTTTTCTTTTTTTTTATTGTATAATAGTTTTACATATTTTTGTGCATTTTTCCATCTCAGTTGCAATCCCCTTGGTTTCCCATCATCAAATCACCCAGAACCAGATTTTTAACTGAGAAAGAAGTAACCAGTGAGGGAAGAAGGACATGCAGGGGCTGGCCTGGCATCAGGTATGAGTGTGACTCCTGAGTTCTTTCATATATAGAGATTCAGGAACGCAGATGGGCCTGCAGGGGTTAGTACACACTCCTATGTTTCCTAGCAGTCTGCGGCGATGGTCTAAAAGTGACAGATACCTCTGTCACATGCATACCTCCCATCCAGCTCTTGGTTTCTAATATCACTGTCCATGAAAGTAACTCTTAGAGTAGCTGACTCCAGGGGTGGGGCAAGGAAAACCAATATAAGCCTGGAGTATCTTGTCTTGGTAGAAGTATAGAAACAAATAAAAAGTGGAATGAGGGCCATGTCCAAAGAACACATCAAAAGTCAACCTTAGGGCCTCCCTGGTGGTGCAAGGGATTAAGTCTCAGCACTATGAAGATAACTGCAGCCACTAGAGCATGAGTTCAATTCCTAGCCAGGGAGCTGACCCACCTGGTGCAGCAGACCTCTCTTACCTGCCCACTGCTCCCCTCAGCAGTGCATTTCAGTCAATCTGCCTATTCTGCTCTTGACTCTGTCTCTGGTGAATCCCCTCACCTCCGCCCCCCCCGCCTCCCCCCAACATACCTCTGGCTTACACTCCAGCTCTTATATGCATAAATAAATAAAATAAACCTTTTTTTTTAAAGTCAATCTGAGAATGAGACCCAGTAATTAAAGCTAGAAAATGTGAGCAAAAATAATGACAGCATTTAATTATAACTCATAAAATAAGTTAATTGTGAGATAATTGTGCTATGATTATATAAGATATTAATCTTAGGGGAAGCTGGTTGAAAGGCAGGGCCCTCCCTGGTGGCACAATGGGTTAAACAAGTGAGGCACTATGAAGCTGTCTGCAGCTACTGCAGCACAAGTTCAATACCCAGCCAGAGGGGTGACCCACATGGCATGGCAGACCTGTACTGACCCTCCCGCTGCTTCTCTCAGCAGTGTGTTTCAGTCCATCTGCCTGTTCTGCTTCCCACTCTGTCCTCTGGTGAATTCTCTCACCCCCTGGCCTGCACCACATAAACAAATAAATCTTAAAAAGAAAGTTATATGAAAATGTTTTGCACAATATCTGCAATTTTTCTTTGAGATTAAATTATTTAAAAGATAAAAGCCAAAAATATTAGAAGAGTACATCTTAAATTTTTTTTTAAAGATTTATTTATTAGTACAGAACTGGGGTAAAGGCCAGATATGTGGAGGGTGAGAGGATTCACCAGAGACAGAGTGGGGAGCAAAACAGGCAGATCGACAAAGTACACTGCTGAGGGGAGCAGCGGGTGGGTCAGGAGGAGTCTGCCGCACCATGTGGTCACCTCCTGGGTAGGCAAGGATTGAACTCATGAGGAAGTGGCTTTAGCTTCTTAGTGCTGTGCTTTAACCCGCTGCGCCACCAGGGAGGGCCCCATCTATGAGTTTTTAATGATACCAAAACAACAAATAACTCATCCGCTGTATTAGAGGATGACAGAGAACTAATGTAGAATGCTGATACTGGGCAAATAAAGGAGGGGGGAAATGGAGCAAAACATATCACTAGGTAACCAAAGAAGAGAGGAGAGGAAGCTTCTCTTTATAGTTGTTATCTGCCTAGTAAAAAAGAAAAGGATGATAGAATTAGAACACTATTTTGCACTCCCTAGAGGATTAAAAGGACTTAGGTCTTAGGAACAAAAAGCTGCTAATATCACAAAAGGACAGACTATGTATGTATAACTATTTTATTTTTTTTTAATCACTATTTTGTTGAATTCAAACTTGAGGGCCTTCCTGGTAGTGCAGGGGTTAAAGTCTCCATGTTATCAAGCTATTGCCAATCACAGTGGCATGAGTTTGGCATTGAGTTCCATCCCTGGCCAAGGGGGTGACCCACATGCCAGCAGACCTCTCCTGTCTCCCCTGCATCTCCCCTCAGCAGTGTATTTCAGTAGATACGCCTGTTTGCCCTCCACTCTGTCTCTGTTGAATCCTCTTTATTCCCTCCCCCACTGGCCTACACTCCAGTTCTTGTATGCATAAATAAAATAAAATTAAATCTTTTATAAAAATCCAGGAAGGGAAAAATGAAAGAAGATATATGTGAAACAACAGTGGCATGAATCAAATCGTTAAAAGTTGTTTGGTTGGATACACGGAATTATTCTCTGCAAATCATCTTGACAAGTTCCACAGCATAAGTTAAAAAAAAAAGTCAGGATAAAGTTGGACAAAGTGACCTAAGTACCACAGTGTAGAACACACGCTCAGGCACTTAACCTGGCCTGTTTCTGAAATTCAAGAAAGGAGACTTTACCTTGTAGAGTATCTGCCAGTCGCTGACCTTGGTATGAGACAACTTCATGCGTTTCAGAATCAGCTGTAGTTAGACAAGGGAACAGTTACTGTTTTCCTTCTTCCACTATAAAGTCCCTCAAAATCCCCAATGTTAATTTAGGTGCTCAATCTCCTTTCCTCCCCACCCCCCCACCCTGTCCCCTGGGCTCACAGGTACATTCTTGATATGACTCAGCAATCGATGTAACATCTGAGCCATTTCCAGATTCTGAGATAGCATGAAAAACTGAATGACATCCAGACGAGAATTTAGTTCCCCCAGGTCCTGAGTCGGGCGTGTGAACCATAGCCTGGAAGTGAGGGTTGGGAAAAGGGGGAATCAGAAGTGACATGTTACCATTGATTGGATGTCAGTTTGTGAAAATAGAGGCCCCTGGGGATTATGGCAATACACTATACTGGTGAGTACAATACCCTGTGTATATGGATGTGTTTACAGGGAGCTACTAAAAATCTCTGGATGTGATCACGACTGACTACATATCATAAACTGATACAACCATGTGTCATTCCATGTGGATACATGATGTAGCTTGTCAATATTTAGAGGAAGAACAGTGTGCTGAGGCATTTGTATGCCAACACTCTAGCTCCCTCTGTAGCTGAGTAGGAGAGAGTGAGTCAGAATGAGTTTGTATATTTATTTTTAGCCATGAAAGTATCCCTGGGTATACAACACAGACATTAGTCTTTTTGTGCCCTTCCTGTGAAAGTTATCATCCTATCTGGAATGGTATGTCTTCAGTTCACGATAATGGTCATCTCTACACAGAAGGATGATTGAGAGGGGGTTTCAATAACATTGTCTTATAGTTACTGGTGGAAGCACAGAGATTTATATAATTTTGTACACATTTATGTGCTTAACTATTTCCTAATAAATGAAATCAGTATACAGAAGTGTCTCATCAGTGTTTGTCTGATTCTCACTATGGTTATGAAGAGGACAAGATTCCCTAATGAACTGGGAGCCCAGAGCATCTTCACAATAGAGCAAGTCACTCTAGAGCGTGTCATCTCCGTAAAAGTCAATGTATGGGCACACTGGGGCCTAGGCACGTGGATCTCATACTGTAGTCTATGGCCATTCACCCTGGATAGAAAACCCCAGTAAGGTTCCTCCCTGATGGTGCAAAGGTTAAAGCACAGCACTATGAAGGTACCCACAGCCACTACAGCATGAGTTTGATCCCCAGCCAGGGAGCTGACCCACATGACACAGCAGACCTCTCCTGTCTAACCCCTGCTCTCCTCAGCAGTGTATTTCAGTAGATCTGCCTGTTCTGTTCTCCACTCTTTGTCTAGTAAATCTTCTTATACCTTATACCTCTGGCCTGTATGCATAAATAAATAAACCTTTAAAAAGTTCTTGTATGCATAAATAAATAAACCTTGAAAAAAAAAAAAGAAAGAAAGAAAGCCCCAGTTAGAATGAGCAGAGGCTGTAGTTGGATTTGAGAAGAGGTTTTAGACACCTCTGTTCCTTAGTCACAGAGGGCTCCCCACTGTGGCAGTGCAGGTCAGTTTATGAATACTTGTTCCCACCTTGGAAAGCAAGTGAGCCTCACCAACCAGTTTCTCATACATACCTAGGTATCTGACTCATGTACTGCTAGTGTCAGGAGAGATCTTAGTCAAGAGGAACACCCTACTTTTACAGCTGGGGAAATAAATCCCTTGGAAGATAAACAACTTGTTCAAAGTCATACTGCCAGTAAGTATAGTAAGTCCTCACTTAATGTCCTGGCTAGGTTTTTGGAAATTGTAACTTGAAGCAAACAGATGTAAAACAAAAGCAGATTCTCAAAAAAAACTTGTTTCACTCAACTTCATCTAGAATCACTTTTGCTTCATCAACAATATAATCAAAGGATACTGACTTAAATAAAGTCATTCAAGGAACTGCTGTAAAGTTGTTAAACTCAGAGGTCCAATTGCTTGGACGATGCCCCTTTTTAATTTAAAAGATTTAAAAAATTTATTTATGCATACAAGAACTGGGGTGTAGGCCAGAGGTGCAGAGGGTGAGAGGATTCATCAGAGACAGAGTGGGGAGCAGAACAGGAGAATCAACTGAGATACACTGCTGAGGGGAACAGTGGGCGAGACAGTCCAGGTCTGCTGCACCATGTGGGTCAGCTCCCTGGCTGGGTGAGGCTGGCGATAGCTTGATGACACTGAGACTTTAACCCTTGAGCCACCAGGGAGACTGACATAGCTCATTTAAAGCGTACTGTGACATTCAGTCCTTATAATTCATTGTTCTTTGTCCAGGTGTCAGTTTGGATGCTCTTAGTTCATCATTCAAGTTATGGTTCCAGACCCTGCAGGACCCTATCTGGGACTCTGTACTCCTCCACCCTTTTAAATTGAATTCTCTTCTTTACTGAGAAATCCTTCCTTCTCATCCCTGGTTGAGGCTACAGACTGGCACTTGAAGTACTTGCGAAGTCACCCTACAAAGTACTTGGAAATGCCCCTAAAATTATCCTAAATTCACCTCCAAAAGACACCTTGCAAGGCTGGTGTGCTAGAGAAAGGATTGTGTACCTGTAGGCTAGCAAAGATTTCTGCTCTGAGTTGGTAGGGCCAGCGCACCGGCATTCTCGCATTCCGGCTCACCCAACTGGTGCCACTGTTACAAGCTCATGTGCCAGGCACTGAGGCAACAGGGATGGTCACCAGAGTCACAGCTGTGAGGGCGAGCAGATTCGCCAGCTACCACTTCTGTTATGACAGTGCAACTGGAACATATTACAAAGCACTGAGCACACGTAAGGAATACCTCAACCTCCTTACTGGTGCATGTGAAAGCTGTATATAAAGGTTCTAGTTGGGTTGCACCTTAAAGACAATTAAGCATTTGGACAGGGGAGCCCTGGGGAAAGGTTCTCTAGAGAGGGCAGCGTAAATAGGCATGATGTGTTTCCGTGATGGCACGATCTGTTTCCATGATGGCATGATGTATTTCCATGATGGCACGTGGCCCTAAATGACTGGATATAGGGTGGGTAAGGTAGGAAAAAGGAAATCAGAAGGAACTTTGGAAGGGGATCCTGGAAGTAAAAGTTGGGGTAACTGAGGGGAGCCATCACTGCCAAAGATGCTAATCTTCATCTTGTAGATAATGGGGAAGCTTTCTGAGGTTTATGTTACTTTGTTTCTACTTTTTTTTTTTTTTAAGTAAAGTGACATGCTTAGATATGTTTTTGGAACAGGTATTTTAGAATGAAGGTTTATAAATGAGTCAGAGAGACCATTCGGCAGGGCCTACAATGCTCCAGGGTAGAAATGCCAGAATTAGAGCAATGGAAAGCAGGAGAAAGGGCTGATGGAGAGACATTTTAGGCCAGAATCAATAGGCCTTAATGAATAATTGAACATGGGGGTGAGGGAGAAGCAGCAATCAAGCTTGAGGAGCTCACAGCTTGAGGAGGCGTGTTGCCAGCAACGCCATTAAGTAGAGGAGGAAACCAGGCAGGGGAACAGGTCCAGTGGGTGTCAGTTTGGACGCTCTGAGTTGGAGCTGCTTGTGGAAAGTGCATGACATGCAATTAGCATTCCGCAGGGAGCCCAGATTTCGAGATACAATTTGAAGGTCATCAGCAAATAGCTCGTTTGAAGTGTTTTTTCAGAATTAAAGATGTTACCATGTGTACATTGGCATTCTGTGAGTGTGTTTCTTCTTATATGCATCAAGTCTGAGTAGTATTATGGGTACACATGTATCTGTGTTGACAAAGTAAAATGAGGATAATACTGCTGGGGTTGTTGTGAGGTAACATGAGGTTACCACATGGAGTTGTGTAAGGATTAAAAGCACTCAGCTGGCATTCAAGAAAGAGCTATTGCTTTTGTCATTACGAGGTGGGGGCACTGAGCCTGCAAACTCCAGATATTAGCTCACATGAGACCCACTCACCTGAGCAGCTTCTCTCCCCATTTACAGCGGCATCTGTTGAGGATCCCTGCAGGGAGTGGAGGCAGAAAGAGAGCTTGTATAGGAGGGGGCAGGGAGATGAGTGTGAGGATGCATCTAAGCTGAGACATCTGTGTCAGAGGTTCAGGTGTTAAGGGCGTTCCCCAAACACAAAGCCGGGCCCAGACTGTGAGGCCCAGCCAGGATCAGTTTACATGGACTTAGGGGAGGGGATGGGCACACATAGGAACTCTCAGCCAGAAAAATACACAGAGCAGGCATAGGCTTACAAAGAGCCCAGCACGTATATGTAAACAGATACAACCCACTGAGATATACAGAGTGAAACCATGTGGATTTTGGGGGCGATGTCCCTGACACACCTTAAAGCCAGAAACAACTGATAAACTACTGACTGCACAAGTCAAACATGAGCAGTTATGCAGTTATGTAACTCTTTGCTACTTCCGGAATCCCTAGACAAGTGCACAACTAGTAGAAACACTCATACAAACCACAGGATGAACATGGACTTGACAGAAACAATATGTACATGACACTGGACACTGGAGAGATGCCCAAGATAGAGCAGGTACAAAAAGAAGAAAGCTGGATGGAAGTGGAAAAGACATCTGGCAACCGAGGGTGAAATGGGAAGAGTGTGGGGGACACAATTGGAAGCAGCTGTTTTTCTGGCAGGTTGTGATGGCATGAAAGGCAGGGCACCTACCAAAGAGACTGAGCCCCTCCTTCACACCACTGGCCACTTTGTACACCGAGGGATGAGACTCACTCTTAAATATCTGTAAAACACTGTCAAGGAGAAATGCAGGACTTTTGGGGTAACTTGGACTTTTAAAGGGAATAGAGAAATGGAATGGGGACAGGGAATCTCACCCTCCTGAGATCAAATCTTGACATAACTAGTGTGTCCCACACTTGTCTCAGTTTTTGCCTTTAGATAAAAAGGTGCCACCTTTGTGCTGTTTATCCCCCCTCCTTCTTACCACCCTCCTCCATTTCCTCAGGGACAGAAATCTTAATAGCCCCGAAATTAAAGAAACTACAGTCTTATTAGGATTATTAAAGTATTAAGCTTAATCCTTCTCATTCCCTAGAGACAAGAGCCTCACTCCACCTCCTTACCTGTAAGTGTCTTGATCTATGTTCACCAGATGAGTCCTGAGGGCAGAAGACAAGGGAAGGTAGATGGAGAGGTGTGACTTCATCCCACAATTCTGCCATCTTTGCCCCCTCCCAAAACAACGTCTCAGTCTCCTCCTTAGTTTCACATCCTCTCAGGTTCCTCTGTGCGTAATTTCCGGGAAAGTCACTCGCCACCCCTGAAGCCCCAGCCTGTCTTACTTCTCAGGCTTTTCAAGCCCACCTTACTTTGGCTGAAATTAGAATAAATCACATACAACGTGAATTTCTTAAAGCCTAGGATGGGAACGCTGACGTTATAGTCTTCCAATTCAACTCCAATTCTTCTTCGACCCAGGAACTTGAGCAGTCCTCCCAGTGCTCGAACCTGGGAGGCAACCAGCAGTGGTGTTGGGATAAAGTGTCTCCTAGCACTCAAGCCCAGGTCTGGAGGGCTTGTGCTTTTCTCCGTTCTGATTAGCCCCCAGGACACATCTCACCGTGAGAAGACAGTCAAAGGGAATGATGGAAGATAGGAAGAGGATTTTCTCCGCGTCTGTCATGGAGTCTGGGATGAAGGAGTAGTTTCCAGAAAGGAGGCGCTGTTTGCTTATTTCCAGACCTATTTGGGGGAAAATGGAAAGGTTTTATAGCCCAATTTTTCACCCCATTTTAAGAATGAGAAAGGAGAGAATGTGACTTGCCAAGCTTGTACAAACCATAATAGAAAGCTGAATCACCAAATTCTCAGACTCTCTTTACTTACAAATGACATTAAGAATGTTTGGTTGAAAACACAACAAGAGAAAATACATGGCTCAGAAGATAATTTATGTCTGGAATTGAGGGGGTTTGGTCAGCATGATCATACTAAAGAAACTAATAACATAACTTAAAAACATTCCCTGTCCTTTTTGGAAGGTTATGAAGGGACATATGGATCACCAGTCACTAAGACAGTGCCTTTAAAAAAAAAATTTTATTTTACTATATAAGAATTGGAGTATAGGCCAGAGCTACAGGAGAAGGGTAAGAGGATTCACCAGAGACAGAGTGGGAAGCAGAACAGGTGGATCTATTGAAATACACTGCTGAGGGGAGCAGCAGATGAGACAGGAGAGGTCTGCTGCTCCATGTGGGTCAGCTTCCTGGCTAGGGATTGAATTTAGGCTGTAGCAGTGATAATGCTCGGACTTAATCCCTGGCCACCAGAGAGGCCCCACTCCTTTTTTTTTTTTTTTAAAGGACGAATGACTTTGGCTTAAAGAGGAAAATTCCAACAATCAAGGCTGTCCCGCAAAAGGTCATCACTTCCTCTTTTAAGGGACGGCCCTATTTCACATACACCTAAGTGGAAGTTTCATGATAAGCTGCAGTTTATTAAAGGATAGAGCACAGGAGAGATCTTGGCTCCCCCAAGATCTTAGGGCTTGATCTTAAGGCTTGAAGAACAGAAAGGTTTAGGGTGACAGAAGACTAGTAAGATTTCTGATGTGGGTGGAGTCAGGAGAAAGGGTGGGGATACTAGGGTGGGGGTCTAAGCAGGCAAAGCAAAATGAAAAAGATACCAAAATCCACACTTGGCAAAAATACGATTTCAGGTCTCTTAGGCTGTCGGCGCTCCTGGGAGGCTGTGGGGGAGGCAAAAGGCCATCAGTTTGTACATCAGTTTGTACAGCCCTTTGCTTCTATTCCATCTTCCCTCACATCCAATTCTGGCTTCCTGGTTCTAGCTCCCTCCAAGGCCCTCCAGACTCCCAGAATATCTCATACTTTAGTCCTTCCTCATTTTCTGTACTCAGTCCTTACCTAGCTTTCCAAGAAACCGAGTCATGCTCTCATCCTGTTTGGCACTCGTAACAAGGGACTTGGGATTGATTTCATCCAGAACTTGGGAGAGAATGGAAATCAAGTGATTTTTTCCCCCTTCGACTAAGACAGGATTCATAGTCCTACTAAGACAGGATTCATGAAGAGCTCACTCTCCTCATCCAAAACATACTTCCCCCCTCTGAGAGTAGGGAATGCTCCACACATTGGGAGCATAGAAGTTATGGCCTGAGATCTAGAAAGATGCCATTGATGGGGTGATGGGAAGAGGGATACAGGTGGATTGTTACACTATAAGCCCTTGGATGACAAGACTGATTTGCTCAGGACTAAATTTTGGGCACCTGATTTTTTTTTTTTTAAGATTTATTTATTCATACAGAATTGGGGTACAGGCCAGAGTTGCAGGGGCAGTGAGAGGATTCACCAGAGACAGAGCAGGGAGCAGAACAAGCAGTGACGAAGTACACTGCTGAGGGGAGCAGCAGGTGGGTCAGGAGAGGGCTGACACGCCATGTGGAGCGCCTCCGGGGCAGGCGGGGATGAAACTCATACGGAATTGGCTTAAGCTTCTTGGTGCAGTGCTTTAACCCGCTGCACCACCAGGGAGGGCCGGGCACCTGATTTTTTAAATATTTATTTGTATTTATTTATGCATAAGAACTGGGGGTGGAGGGGTGAGAGAATTCCCCAGAGACAGAGTGGGGAGCAGAACAGGCAGATCTACTGGAATACACTGCTGAGGGGAGCAGCAGGTGAGACAAGAGAGGTCTGCTGCTTCATGTGGGTCAGCTCTTTGGCTAGGGGTGGAACTCAAGTGCAGTGGCTAGACTTTAACTAACCCCTGAGCCACGGGGGAGGCCCCTGCCTGACACCTTGTTTTAAACACCTAATACCTTTCAGTTGGGAAATGAAGTCGTAAAAATAACCAAGGAACCCTATGGAAATCCATTAATAAAACAACTGAGTCAAGTAAGGACACGGGATGAAAAAACACACTTCCAGCCCCAGAGCACAGAGTTCATGGCTCTGCCCCCACCTCTCTGGAGAAGCTTGAGGTTCTCCTGGTCTGGGGCATCTGGCATGAAGTGGATGGTGGAGTCACTAACGTCATAGTAGGCCAGGCCCAAGAATCCCGAGTTCCACAGCACACACAGATGGATCTGTCGGGCGAGGAAGGCAGAAAGCACTACTTGAAGCGCTCCTGAGCGCAGGTTGGGCAGTGCCTACTTAAAGCAATCATTTCATCAATTTCGGGCATCATCCCTCCCTTTCACTAAACAGAAAGCTGCAGCTCGGCGGGGGCCCATGCCACACCCTCCCCGGCCCAGCCCCCTTTTTATTGTAACTTCGGCGCACGCGTCCCCTCCCGGTTCTCGGGATTGGGGCGCGGCCGCCACTCTCGCCGGACACCTCTGCCGGCTCCTCCTCGTCCGCGTCGTCCTCCGCGGTCGCTCCGCAGCCGGGGTCTGGGGCGCTGCTGGGGGCGCCCGCCGAGACCTGCCCGGAGTCCGGTCCCTGCTGCGTCCTGCCGGGGGTCACTGCCGAGGCGGCCATGGCCTTGGCGGCCCTGAGGGGGGCAGAAAACCGCGGAGGCTTAGCAGCCAGCGCGCCCGCCGGGCCCGGGGGAAGGGCGGGCGCGCAGAAATGCAAATCCGAGGGCACTTCCGCGGGGTGCGGGGCGAGTGGCGCCGTAGCGGCGTTTGCTTTGATGGAGCGAATTCTCGCGTCTTTTCTGGCCGGTAGAAAACCCCACTCGCCCCACCCTCATTTCTGTCGCGCGGAGGTGTAGCCTGAGGGGAGACTGATGCTCTATGGGTGGAGTGGTGCACGTCTTCTTTCTGTCCCTACCGGACACGACTCTACGACCGAGACCCTGTCTTTCGACCTCGCCACTCAGTTAACGGAGAATGCGCGGCGTTTTCCCGCCTTTTCAGTCACCTGGGATGCGACGAGCGCCAAGACTGACTAGCTCAGTCACCAGCCGCGGGAGGGGCGTGTCGGCGCGGGGGCGGGCGGGACGTGTGTGCGTAACACCATCCCCTTAGCTGTCATTGGTCAGAGAGATTCAGATCCTGCCTATAAACTCAATAGGGCGAGAGTGAGGTAGGCAGTCGTTGAGAAGACCGGGTGCTGATTGGTTTGTTCACGTATGGGGCGGTGCCAAAGCTTTCAAATTTCCCGCCCTGCCATTGCTTAGCATCCGGGCCTCAAACCCACTGGGTTTCTGGGCTTTGATTGAGACTGGGTGGGGCGAGCGTGAGGTCGAAGCGGTGTTGGCAGTGGGTCCCGGGAAACGGCCCCGGGGCTTCAGGGAGTCTAGGGAGGTAGCCGGTCTTAAAGGGCCAGAGGCGAGTTGTTTTTTTTTTTCTTGAAAGTGAAGATAAACGACATTAATTAAATCGGATCAAACAACTCTAAGTTAATATTTATACCCTCTGAGTTAATATTTATAAAGATCTTAGTACAGTGCCTGGCAAACATTTCTACGTGAGTGTTTTAAGTAAAGAGTCAGAAAGAATTAAGACCCACTTTCCTGGGTGTAGTGCCACATGAGCACTACGCGGCATAATCCTAATTTTGAATTCCCAAGAAGAAGAGGAAGGAAGCATTTGAATTACACCAAATTCCAGCAGAGAGAAATACAACTGCATCATTATCGGCCACACCATACCCTCCTCCCGACAGGCAAAGACACACAAACCCTTGAGGACAGCGGGGGTGGGGGGTGGTTTTATTCATTCGAGGAGCAACTATTAGTGTCTATGGGGGGCGAGGGGGGGGCTGCTGATCTCAAAGCATCCCTGTTCCATGAGGCATTTTTGAGTGTGTGTGTGTGTGTGTGTGTGTGTGAAGGGAGAAGCAAGGAGGTTGTGAGGGAAACAAATACACTTCTATATGCACCCCACAAAAACAAGCAAACAAACAAAAACATTCCTTAGGGCCCTCTCTGGTGGCGCAAAGGGTTAGGACGCAGCACTGCAAGCGAGAGGCAGCAGCTTCAGTGCTAGTTCGAGCCCAGGAGGTGATCACATGGCTAGGTAGACCTCTCCTGACACACCCACTGTTCCCTCAGCAGTGTGCTTGGTCAGTCTGCCTGTTCTGCTCCCCACTCAGTCTCTGGTGAATCCTCTCACTGCCCCTTCACCTCTGGCTTGTACCTCAGTTCTGTATGTATAAATACATCTTTTAAAAAATTCCTTAAAATACATCTTCCTCCCCCACTTTGTCCTGGATGCCTTATGATGGTGAGGACCCATTCCTTGAGAATTAGGGAAGATGGGGTGTGTGTGTGGGGGGGTGGTTTTGTAACGGGGTGGTTCCTAGGAAAAGGGTAAGTTCCAGGTTCCCTGCCCCTCCCAGGAGGTGGACCTGAGCAGAGAAGAGAAGGAATCTGAGGAGGAAGGGAGCAGGATGGAGAGCCAGAAGGAGAGCTGAGGAAGCCACAAAGGGAGACCTGTGAAGAACTCGTGCTTGTTCTTGGCGCTGGACTGGTTGAAAGAGATGTGGGTGAGAGACCCGTGGGGAGGTTCACTCACGTGGCAGTGTTTATATTGACTTTGATTTTGCTCTTTTCCCTCCCAGACTTGTCTGGCCATGTCTGACCCTTTTCTATAGGCCAGCCAGAAGGTGCTTTAGTCTTGTGGCAGCTTTCAGGCCTTGCTTTCGACCAACCCCTTTTGGGTTGGCTTTTGCCCACGAGGGGATGGGTAACTTCAGGTGTTTGATTTATAAATTACATTCTTTGTCTTTCGTATTGTATATTCACTGTATTAAAGTTCCTCTTCATTAAAGTCATATGTTTTGTCTTAATGCAGCGGATAGCAGAACCTATTTAAAGCAGACAGGTTTGGGGCTTCAGTGGTGCCCCTCTCTCCCTTCCCTGTAACTGTTTGAGGTGTTTCTACTAACCAATGAATGGAAAATCCTCTGTTCCAAGAAAGGTGGGGAAGTGATTTAAGACCTGGGTTAATGGTTACCCCAGGCCAACCACTATTGGGCAACCTGCTATGGAAACCTGGAGGAGGCTCTAAGGAGTGTCAGGGAGGGCCACACCTTCCAATCTGAGGTGGGAAGAGATTAGGGACTGGTTTACCAAGCTGAGAAAGGGGAGGGAGTAAAAAGAGAAGCTCGGAAGAAAGGGAGACATTGAGATAGGAGAATAGTAAAGTGGGGCAAGGAGATGAGATAGGGTTTTATGATGCAGGATTTGGGAGTACAGCTCCTGGCTTCAAATCCATAGGGCACTGCTGGCTGGAACCAGGAGAGGGCAGCATTACCTGTCATCTGGGAAGTGACCGCAAAAATACCTTTTGGGTAGCCAGACCAGCCAGCCAAAGTCAATATTGATAATCAAGGTAGCTGCAGCTGCAAAGAGGTAGGAGAGAAAAGAGAGGCAGGGGAGAGGCTGCCAAACCTGCTTGAGCTCCGGGCAGGCCCCACTTGCCTGAGGCTTCTCCCAGAGGGGAGAACTTTGTGGGGCAGATTCTCTGGCAATTACTGACCAGCTCAGAAGGAGGACTGCTTTGACCTCCCTTCCTCAGATGGAAGGGATCCTGTGTGCAGATTTTGAGGGTCACCCATGGAAGAGGAACCCCCCCAAACACACACACTCATGGAATTAGTCTACATCCTTATAGGATATTACAATTCAAGTGAGCAAGCACCAAATATAGTCCCTCTCTAGGGAGGAAAGATAGGCCTTCCCTCAGGGAGGAGAAAACCCACAGAAGAGGAAGCTGAGAGGAAACCACTAACTGTCAGTTTTCAGCATCTCTCTACCCCACTCCTCCCTCTTTCTTCAAGTTACAAGCCTTGTTTTGCTCCAAGGTCCTCACACACCACTAAATTTTTCTGGATCTGAAGGTCTCAGAAGGTAGTGAAGAAGAAAGACAGGGGGTGTTTGGACAGGAGAGAGATTCAAGATGTGGAGGCTGGACTATATCCAGTGTGGAGGCCATGTTCTTGGGCTATTTTTTAGCATATCATGAAGAGTTTGACAAGAACCTCCAAACTTGACCAGTTATTGACCAGTTACAGCAGAGTCCTAGGAAATAGAATTGCTTTGACTTCCTTTCTTCAGATAAGCACCCCATAAAAGGCCACTTACGCTATTCTGTTTGATCTTTGCTTCCTCTCATAACCCCTAAGAGCAGTGCAGCTCTATTTTAGGACCACAGTAACCCCACCCTTCCACCCTATCTTGTCAGTGAAAAAATGACAAGGTGCACACACAGGAAGGGGCCCCCATATTAGATATCTGGGGCAGAAGTGGAAGCATTAAAGGTGCAACACAGGTGCTCCCCCCATCCCCATCCCCCCCCCCACAAGGCCATTGATTGCTTCCTGTTTCCCTAGCACAAGGCCTGTTTGTCTCCCTTCCCATCCCGGCCCTACCTTTCACCACTCTTCCCCAACTCCAGCTTGCAATCCAAGTTCCTCTCGCAGGCCACAGCCCCATAACCCAGAATCTGAACTATAGTCCAGAAGGAACGCAGAAAAACGAGCAACCGACGACCTTTCGATTCTAAAATATGAACAATTCCAACAATTCCAAGCCAACATGGTAAAGTCCAAGATGTTGGTGTCAAGTTTCTTGTGTGAGGGTGAAGTGGAAGTGTCCTCTGATGAAGCGGGGAAACTGAGGCAGAAAAACAGTCCTGTGTTCAAGGAGACTGGCAGAGAAATAAGGCTTCCCAGTTTCCCTCCCCTTAACACCCCATCCCCAACCACTGGAAGACCCGAGGGGATCTGCCCTCCCGACCCACTCCCCGGTCGTCGAGTCCCGCCCCCCTCCAGCCACCTCCCCAGGTTCAGGGCGGGGCGGTCGGTGAGTCAGCTGCTCCCCGATCTTGCCCGGGAGGGTATAGAACTGGAGGTGCTGAGCTGGTGGGGAGCCCGCGTCTGGAGAGAGTGGGTCCGATCGGGCTTGTGTCGCGCCAAATACAGACAGAGCTTGAGGTCCGGGTAGAGAATCCCGGCCTGTGAGATCCGCCTTCCCCGCCCCGGCCCCTCCCAGTTCCCCCAGCGCCGGCCGCTTCCTGAACTCCGAGCAACCATGGCTGAAGAGCAACCGCAGGTCGAATTGTTCGTAAAGGTAAGAACCTCGCCCGCCTAGGCCACCCTCCAAATTCCTGGAAGGCGACTCTCACCTTTCCGCAGCTCCAGCCTTATTCCCTAATCCCGTTCCTCCTTGACCCCCAATCCCAACCCCACGTGCGGTCTTAGGTGTGGGGAGTAGGGGTGGGGGTCCCCTTAGGAGAAGATCATTGACTTGTGTGCGAGGAGAATAAGAATTCTAGGCTCAACCCAGAAAAGTTTGTAGAAATGAAGTTTCCAGAAGCCTAAAGGACAGGAAAGTAGAGACAAGGTGGGGCTCCGGAGTGAAGATTTACCGCGGTGGGGGAGGAGGGCCAAGCTGGTGAAGGGACCTGGAGAGAGGTGGGTTTGATGGGGACAGAGGGAGCTATCAGGGCATTGATCCTAACCACAGAGAATGAGGGGAGACTTGGAGGTGTGGGTGTGTGGTAGGGAGGTTTCCAGGAAGAGGGTGTGGTGAGGAAGGCTTGAGGTGGGAGGGGGTCAATTAGGAAGAGCTGTGAGGTGCAAGCCAAGAGGCAAGGGGGCCGGGGAGGTGATGGATGGGGTAAGGCATATCCAGCAACTTGAGCAAGCAGAGCAGGGGAGGAAATAAGGGGAGCTGGGGCTACCACATGGCTGGGGGGGCATCAGGAACCGGAGTGCTGGGGATTGGGGGTTGTAGAAGCAGAAGAAAAAGTCTCCCTAACTCTGTCCCCACTGTGGGTGCTGTCAGGAGTGGTGGTCTCCGCTTTTGGGTATCACAGGCTCAGGCAGGCGTCACCGTTTCTGCCAGCTCCCCTCCTACTAAGTGGTGTTTTGTGTCCCCTTGGTCATCTCTGCATCCCCTCCCTCCCCCTGGGCCTCCATCTTGTTCATTCTCCCCACCATTCACTTTTCTGATGATCTGTCCACTTCCTCTCTTTTGTTCAACCCTGCTTTGTGTGTTCCTGCCAGTTTTCTCCTCTCTGTTACGCTGGCACTACTTGGGCAGCCATTCCCACTCCCTGGTCCCAGCCCAGTGAGGTCCAGCCAGGCCGGGCCCGCCCCCTTAGGTGTGGTCCCCACCCCACTTTCACACTGGCCTCAAGGGCTATTTTTACTCCTGGGTGAGGCTGCACTGCAGATTCTAGCCCTACATCCTGCGCGAGGAGGGGACTGTGGAGCCAGGGCACTTGTGCTGAGACCCCAGCTGGTGGCAGTGTCCAGTCTCAGGAAAGAGGGAGGTGGCCTTGGCTGCCCCCCCCACCCCCCCAACCACCGCCCAGCAGCAGCCTCACAAGTCCCTGCCCCCACTCCTTGCCAGGAAGGAAGCTGCCGGCTGGAGGGAGACTCTGAGAGATGAATCACCCTCAGGCTAGGGGGAGGTGTCCCTCGGGGGATGAGATCACCACCTGCCAATTAGAAGGCGCCCCCCTTGGGTAGCCCTCCACATCTCTGGGGCCAGGCGATGAGCCCCTTCATTCTCCCATCCAGCTGCCAGAAACAGCTTGGCTGGAGGTACACAGAAAACCACAACTGTGGCTTCCAAACCCTGTCTATCTGCCTGGCCTCAGATTCTTCTCCCCTACAGCTCTGCCTTCATCTAAACCCTCTCTAGGGACTATCCCATGGGTTGATGTGAGAAATATGTGAGTTCTTGTATTAGTAAAGTGCTGAGACTAGTACATAGAAAACTACATTACTATGAGTTTTCCCTCTGCTAGAGGCCAGATCCTCCAAGTTTTTCAGAATTCTTTGCTTGCTTTCCTCCTCCCAACTGACCTCCACTCTCTGTACAGTCAGAAGCAGACCTTTGCAGAAAAGGCTGCTGCCCATCTGTGGTGCTAGGTGGGGCCCAGCCCCACATAGAGAGTCCAGTTTGGCGGGAGCTTTTTTTTTTTTTTTTTAAGGTAGCTTCCTCTGAATCTGAGCTCTTTTAATTTTTTTAAAAGATTTATTTATTTGTGCATACAGAACTGGGGTATAGGCCAGAGGTGCAGGCCTTGAGAGGATTCACCAGAGACAGAGGGGGGAGCAGAACAGGCCAACTGATGAAGTACACTGCTGAGGGGAGCAGCAGGCGGGTCAGGAGAGGTCTGCAGCGCCATGTGGGTCACCTCCGGTGGGGGGGATCAAACTCGTGCTGAAGTGGCTTTAGCTTGGTAGTGCTGTGCTTTAACCTGCTGTGCCATCAGGGAGGGTCCGGTGGGAGCTTTTAATGGTGAGAGATAGGTGAGTGTCATGACCAGGCAGAAAACAGCCTGGTCAGGGAGCAAGACTGCAGAGAAGGAAGGGCCTGGGGTGCAGAGGAGGAAGGGCCTGGGGTGTACCCCTGGATGCATCAGACGTAACCTTGGCTTGGGCATTGCGTTCCAGGCTGGCAGTGATGGAGCAAAGATTGGGAACTGCCCCTTCTCTCAGAGACTGTTCATGGTGCTCTGGCTCAAGGGAGTCACCTTCAATGTCACCACAGTGGACACCAAAAGGTGGGTCCACTTCTCTTCCTCTAAATTCCCCTTTTTATCCAGGTGCACATACACCCCCACCCTGAACTCTCCATCCTGATGAATCTTTTCCCCTCCACCCAGATCCCCTTTCTCTTCCTACATCTTTCCATCTCCCCTTTCTCTGGGGTTCTCTGAACCCCTTTTCCTGTCCTGATGCCTGGCCTCTTTTTTCAGGCGAACTGAGACTGTCCAGAAGCTGTGCCCGGGAGGGCAGCTCCCATTCCTGCTGTATGGCAGTGAAGTGCACACAGACACCAACAAGATTGAGGAATTTCTGGAGGCAGTGCTATGCCCACCCAAGTATGGGGGCACCCCAGAAGGGGAGGAGGGCACCTGGGAAAGTTGAAGGCATGAAAAACAGGTGGGTGGGGGGTTAGCACTGAGGAGGGGCCTCCCTGAAAGAAACTTCATCCTGTTTCTTTCACTGGCTTTCAGGTACCCCAAGCTGGCAGCTCTGAACCCTGAATCCAACACAGCTGGGCTGGATGTATTTGCCAAATTTTCTGCCTACATCAAGAATTCAAACCCAACACTCAATGACAGTGAGTTTTGTGGGTTAGAAGTCAGGCCCCAGGGGGAGGGGAGACCATCCAGGAACTGGGAGATAGTAGGGGTACCTGAAAATTCAGGTAGCACGGAGATGGCACTAGATACTGGCACACCTATACCACCCTCTGCTGGCTGCTGCTTAACCACCATCTTTCCTGCATTCTCTTTGGTGGTGACTTTTTAAGCTTTGCTCCTTTGTTCCATACCCTCACTTGCCCCACTGAAAGCATTAGTTGGATCGGCAGGGGCCTGTTTTCTGGCAGAATAAGGTTGTGCTTAAGAACAGTTAACTGTAGATCCAGGCTACCTGAGTGCAGATGCTACCAGATGTGTGACTTGAGGCTGTTCATTTAACTTCTCTGTAAATCTTTTCCAGATCTATGAAATGAGGATAGTAAATACTTAGTTCATGATAGAAGAATTAAATGACTTTTTTCTGTATGTAAAGTGCTTAGACTAACACATGGAAAGTGCATTGGTGTTAGTTGTTATTATTTTGGACCAGCTTCACCACTAGAATTCACAGTTCCCACTCCCCTCAGCTGTGTTCAAGCTGATGTTTTTGCCAATTTTCCTCTCTTGCACAGATCTGGAGAAGGGGCTTCTGAAAGCTCTGAAAATTTTAGACAATTATTTGACATCCCCCCTCCCAGATGAAGTAGATGAGACCAGTGCTGAGGATGAGGGCATCTCTCAAAGAAAGTTTCTGGATGGCAACGAACTCACTCTGGCTGATTGCAACCTGTTGCCAAAACTCCACATAGTACAGGTAGGTGGTCATTGCAGGAGAGTGTGATTGCTGGGGTGGCTCTTAAAAAAAAAAAAAAAGACTTTTTTTTTTTTTATTTATGTATGCCTACAAGTATAGGCCAGAGGTGCATGGGGTGAGAGGATTCGCCAGAGACAGAGTGGGGAGCAGAACAGGCAGATCTACCAAGTACGCTGCTAAGGGGAGCAGCGGGTGAGACAGGAGAGGTCTGCTGCACCATGTGGGTCAGCTCCCTGGCAGGGGACCCAACTCAGGTCACATCGGCTGGCCATAGCTTGATAGCACTGAGACTTTAATCTCTGCTCCATCAGGGAGTCCCTCTGGGGTAGCTCTTTAAGGGGCTCCCTCAAGGCTTCCCATGACAACCACTCGAAGGGTGCTTTCTTTCTTAGGGTGGTCTCCACCTACTACTAGTAGTATATATTACCCCATTCATTCTCAGTAGCCATCACTAGCAAGGCCACTGTATGAGAAAATTGCATCCATGATAACAACAGCCTGGTGGAAAGCAATACATCTTCCTGTCTTTTTCACTACTAAATTCCTGGATCAGACAGCAGACCTTTCCTAAAATCAAGACTACTCTTATAGCTTCAGTTTCTCCTTCCTCTTATGGAAGATTAAAAACTGCTGGTTCCTGTGCTTTTTGCCATACCCTACAAAAAAGCTATGGCTTAGTTTGTGAAACATGGGCCCAGTGCCAATCTGCCACAATCTGTATATTGAATGTTTGTGTACTGGGCACTGAAAGTCACAGACTTGTGGTGATTGGTCTTTCCTTACCCTCAAAGGATTTAAATCTAGCTGAGGGGCCCTCCCTGGTGGTGCAGTGGGTTAAAGCACAGCACTATGAAGTGATCTGCAGCCACTGCAGCGTGAGTTCAACTCCTGGCCAGGGAGCTGACTGACATGGTGCAGCAGACCTCTCCTGTCCCGCCTACTGCTCCCCTCAGCAGAGTATTTCAGTACATCTGCTTGTTCTGTTCCCCACTCTGTCCCTGGTGAATCCTCTCACCCTCCCTCCCCTACCTCTGACCTGTACCCCAGTTCTTGTATGCATAAATAAGTCTTAAAAAAAAAATCTACTTGAGAAGATAAAATATTTTCATGAAAGTTAATACATGATTAAAAAGCCGAAGGGAAAAATGAAACAATTCACTGTAGAAAATCAAAAGAATTTTTTAATGCTCTATGTATTCTATCTCAATAAAGTCAAAAAGAGAAAAGTAGCACTGTGGAATGTAGAGGTCTGAAAGGGGGCTGGTTGTAGCCCAGCAGTAACAAAAATTTAAAAAGATAGGTAGGTAATAAGCCGACCAGCATTTTAGTAAGTGGAGAGGAAAGATGCAGACCTTACAAGACAGTGAAGAGTTAAATTGATTGGAGGAAAATGACTCACAGGAGAAGAGAATGATAGTAAGAAGGGCGTGGAGTCCCTTGAAAGTCTAGACAGTCAATGTATAGACCTGGAAAGAAGGGAAAGCCCAAGAGCAGGGAATCAGAGGGGCTGCTAACATGTTTCTGCTCTCCCCTAGGTGGTATGTAAGAAGTACCGGGGCTTCTCCATCCCTGAAGCCTTCCGGGGAATACATCGGTACCTGCGAAATGCCTATGCTCAGGAAGAATTTGCCTCTACCTGTCCAGATGATGAGGAAATCGAGCTGGCCTACGAGCAAGTGGCCAAGGCCCTCAAATAAACCCCTCCCTGGTTCCCTCACCCTACTGTGTTTTCTCCACAAAAACCCCATGTGCTACCCAATGGACACGCTCCAGAAAACCAATGGCAATGTACAACTGGAGTAAGAGGAAAGGCTGGGGATATGGGTGAAATTTTTATTGTGGGGTAGGTATTTCAATAATAAAATACAGAATGAAAATCTGTTGTTTTTTATACAAAGGGGGCTTGAAGTGTGGTAAATGGAAGGATGGATCAGTGACCTTGGGCCCAGGGCAGAAGTCAGAAATTTAGAACAGGGGTGTTTGTGAGAGGATTGCATTTCAGCGCCCGGTCCACCACAGCGCTGTCTTGTCCATGTCGAATTTGCAGCCCAGCCGCCAGGGCCCGCCTGATCCGGGTGGGCCTGGGCAGCACTGGCGGGGCGGGGCGGAGTTCAGAGAAGGGGGAGCGCAGTCCCCGTGGAGTGGGCGCGGCATGGCTAGGCGGAATGGGCGTGGCCTTTTGCACCCCGCCCCGTCCCGCTTAGACAATGCCCGGGAGCCGCCAGACCATCGCGCCCCCGCCCCATTAATTCTTCAGCTCGCCTACTCAGAGACCCCTCAAAAGCTAGAGCTCCAGTCTAGGCTTGAAGATTAGAGCTCCTCTCTTCCTCAACTCTGACCTCAGGGGGGGTGGGGTCCCAGCCACGATCACAGAACGGCTGGCGTGGGGGTAGCTGCTGGAGGTGAGTCTGGGGTGGAGGTGTCCCTTGGACCCTGCCGGGGCTGGAGTTTGGAGGTGGGGGCTGGGACCGCACCTGCACTGGACAGAGTGCAGGGAGGACATTTGGATGCAGGCTGAGTAGGATGGACTTTGGGGGAAGATGGACGGGGAGATCAGGGGACCAGGTTCTGGAACAGAGTGGCACCGCTCCCCGGAACCACGCCCCCATGCCCCACCCCCACCCCATCTTCTCCCAGTCCTTCGGGACACGGTCTGGTTTGTACTGGGTCGCGTTAGGGGCAGCGTGACCGCTGGGGTGGAGAGAATATTTAACTCTTAAGACTCTAATTTTTTCTCCTTGCCCCTCTCTCTCTTTCTCATTCGGACACTCCAGACTTGCACCCCCACAAGCCCTGACTCTCCCCAGCTGTTCCCTTCAGTTCCATAACCTCTGTGGGTCCCTCGCCGCAGCACTTCGGGTCCTTACGGCCTCGAGCAGCTGAGGGTTAAGGGGGCGGAACCGCTGCATTTTTGGGGAGTGAGCGCATCCTAGCGGCTGCCAAGAGGGGCTCCCGGCAGGGACCTCGCGAAACCCCCGAGCTGGGGCAACAGGTGTTTTAGAGATTAGGGATTCTGATCTTGTTCTTTGGACTCTCCCTGAAGAAACAGACCCTCGCGGGTGCTGGGTAGAGTGGGGTCGGCAGGAAAGGAAGGTCTGGAGGGGGTGGGGCCCAGTGGGAGGGGCGCCGGGAGATGACTGGAGGAAGACCCGGGCGCTCTTAACCACCCACCCCCAATGCCCTTCTCTGCATGTCTCTTTCTCTGCTTCTCCACTTTCTGTCTCTTCTTCCAGACAGGTGAAGTAAAAAGAAAAACTAAGAAATCAGCGCGGCTGGAGGGGACGATTTTGTGAATGGGATGGGGACACCGGGGGAGGGGCTGGGCCGCTGCTCCCACGCCCTGATCCGGGGGGTCCCGGAGAGCCTGGCGTCGGGAGAAGGTGCGGGAGCTGGCCTCCCGGCTCTGGACCTGGCCAAAGCTCAGAGGGAGCATGGGGTGCTGGGAGGTAAACTGAGGCAGCGATTAGGGCTGCAGCTGTTGGAACTGCCTCCTGAAGAGTCACTGCCGCTGGGACCCCTGCTCGGTGACACCGCCGTGATCCAAGGGGACACAGCCCTAATCACGCGGCCCTGGAGCCCCGCCCGCAGGCCGGAGGTGAGTGCCTGGATGCGAGGTGGAGGAAGAAAAGCAGACATCAGGCTTTAACAGGACTTGGAGGTGGGACTATCTCAACCGGCTTCCTCTTCTGCTCTAAGGTTGATGGAGTCCGAAAAGCCCTCCAGGACCTCGGGCTCCGAATTGTGGAGATGGCAGACGAGAACGCAACTCTGGATGGCACTGATGTTCTCTTCACTGGTGAGGCTGGGGTGCCTGCACCCCTGGGGCTTCGCACTAGAACGCAGAGTTTGGGAGAATGGGCCACCTCGTGCCTAGTTTCCCACTCACTCCCTCCCTTCCAACCTCTGGCCTTCGGGCAGGCCGGGAGTTTTTCGTAGGCCTCTCCAAATGGACCAATCACCGAGGAGCTGAGATCGTGGCTGACACGTTCCGGGTGAGGACCCGGGCCAGCCTTAGTGGGGGGATACGAATAAGGCTGCAGACTGGGGTCGGAAGTGGGGCGCTGAGAAGGGAGAGATGGAAAAAAGCCTGTTTTTGAGGGCATCCCCTCACCCTTCTTGCGTCCTTACATTTTCTTCTTCTCCCTAGGACTTCGCGGTCTCTACCGTGCCAGTCTCGAGCCCCTCCCACCTGCGGGGCCTCTGTGGCATGGGGGGACCACGCACTGTAGTGGCTGGCAGTAGCGACGCTGCACAAAAGGCGGTCAGGGTGAGGAGGGGCGTGGCCAAAGAATGTGGGCGTGGCTATGAATTGTGGGGGTGGGTCCTAGAAGCGGGGAGGTTCTGAGAACCCAGTTCCAAACCCTGCCCTCACTAAGCTATCCATCCATCTAGTGTAAAAACACATAGTTGCTATTGTGCGACAAGGAATTGGGAGACCCCATAATAGGGGTGATATATGGGAGGAACAGGTGGGAGAAGGGAAGTAGGTTGCAGGTGGAAAGAACTGGCTGTGAGTAGAGGTGGGAACTAGTAAAGGTTTACTAATGCGCTTAGAAGGTTGGCTGACACGTGGTGAGCACTATGTACTTGCTGTCATTATAGTCCCATAAATGTGATTCTGTGGCAACCTTTAGTGGTGCTAAGGCAGCCGGACTCAGTAGTGGAGCAAGGCTCTGAGCACTTCCTTCTTCCTTTTCCCCAGGCAATGGCAGTGTTGACAGATCATCCCTATGCCTCGCTGACCATCCCAGATGATGCAGCTGCTGACTGTCTCTTTCTGCGTCCAGGATTGCCTGGTGTGCCCCCTTTCCTCCTGCACCGTGGAGGTGGGGACCTGCCCAACAGCCAGGAGGTAAGGGGAGACAGAAGCGCCACCATGGCCACCAAGCAGGCCTTCATAGTGGGAGCAAGGAAGGGTCCTTTCTCTTGAAACCTGGGTGAGCTGGCTGGAAGGGGGACCTAACCGTAACTTTGGGGTCTTACTCTCCTCTCCCACTCCATGTCCTTCCTGCAGGCATTGCAGAAGCTCTCTGATGTCACCCTGGTACCTGTGTCCTGCTCAGAACTGGAGAAGGCAGGTGCTGGGCTCAGCTCCCTCTGCTTGGTGCTCAGCACACGCCCCCACAGCTGAGGCCCTCACCTGGGGGTTACTGGCTTGCCAGGGATAGGGCAGCATGTGAGCAGAGGGGAAGAAGGGCTAGGTAGAGGATGGTGAATAGGTAATAGTGGGGAGACAGCCCCAAGATGGGAGGTGGGCATAGTGTAGGAAAGAGGATAGAGCCCACTGGGTGAGTCCTCTTCCCGAAAACTAATAAAATAGAACTGACCTTTTAGCTTGGGCTGTGGCTGGTGTCTTACTGGGGCATGGATATGGGCAAGGCTGAAACCTGAAGATGGCTCTTTTATTCATCAAGTTGTCATTAGGCACTGCCTGACTCATCGGCCAGGCCCTTCATAGATGCCTGGATGCGAGATGGTTGGGGCAGAATTTCTATTGCTGGGAGCATGTACAGAGCAGAGCAGAGAGAAGATGAGACAATCATGTGCTGAATTCAAAGGCCACATACTAATGTCAAATGATTCAGTGATTGGTAGATTGCCCATCTGCCCCGAGTTGACAGAGGGGGAAAAGTAATGCTTTCAAGGACATTCATTTTCATTCACTCATTTACTAAAGCTGTGATGTGAAAGGGGAGGGTCTCTTGATATCAGTGAGTTCACAGCACAAAAAAACTTGATTATAAATTGAAATACAGGTTGTAATGGAATAATTCGCAGGAGGCTGTTAGAAATAAGGGGGCTCCTGGGGCACCAAAGTGTATGCCAGGGTGGGAAAAGTGGGTCAGAAATGGTTTTCCAGAAAAGACTACACTTGAACTGAGTCCTGAGGATAAATAAGCCAGGCAGACTGGGGGCGGGGTAGAGGGGGGGTGGGCAGGAAAAGGGTAATCCAGGAGGAAGGAACTGCACTCGGCAAAGGCATGTTTGGGGCCATAGAGAATTTCACTAAAGTCCAGTATGTTGTGTGCCTGTGGAGTGACAGATAAGCTGGAGACAACTGTGAGACCAAACCCACGCCCACGGGTCTAGAGCTAAAGGCTCAGGAGAGAAATACTGAAGTTCTGAAATACAGGCTGACTGGAGCCGGTGAGCATGGGGGGAGGATGGGTCTGGCCTCAGGGAGGAGGCAAGGGCAGAAAGATGAGGTGGGGCTATGGATAATCCAAGGAGGAAATTTCAAATACAATGCATTGGGGTGGTACACTAAGCATGAAGAAAGGTGTGGATTTGACTGTGACATCAAAATAGGTAGAAACAAAATAGAAAGACAGGACTTTGTTTATTGTGTGGGAGGAAGGTCTGAATGACTCCTGGCTTCTGGTTCAGGCAGCTGGGATGGTCAAGAGAGAAAGCAAAAAGGATTAAGTGAGTTGTTTTAGAAATGACCAACAGTTGGGTTTTGGACATGCTGTGTGCAAAAGTGCCTACAGCCATCCAGAAGGGGGATGTCCCCAGGACTGTTTGGAACAGTCTGAGAGAACCAGAGAGAACACTGGGTATTGTGTGCAGAGGTAAGGGGTTGAGAACTGGCCCATTGATAACAGCTTCTCAGAAAAAAAAAGAGACAGCTGATAAAGAAGAGGACAAACCTAGAATGGTGAGAAATACTAAGGCATTGGGAAGCAAGGAAGAAGAGTCCAGAAAGAAGGACATAAAAGAAAAACAGAACTTAAAGTACAGAGTAATCAGAGGCCAAGCTGAATGAATGCTACAAAATGTTACTGGGTGTGGTCATTAAGACATCCCTGGTGACCTCACTGAGCTCAATGAGCAGTTTCAGTGAGGAGTGGGAGTGGCGTGAAAATGGAAGAGACAGGTGTGACACCCAATTCAAAGAGCTAAATTTGGGAGGGAAGAGATGAGGCAACCCTCTGGGAGTTGGTGTTAAGATGAGGGGACAGGGCTGGGTGGGTCAGGCTTAGAGGGGACACCGGTGGGGAAGAAGACATGGAAATGAAAGGAGAGATGCGGTAACTGGAGGAGCAGAGAGGGTCTGGGAGATCCTGACTCCCAGACTAGTGCCCATTTCTATCCCATGATGCCTTCTTTTTCTGGGTGAGGGGCCAAGAAGTAGAGGAGGTTTATGCAGAACTGGAGCCTCCAGTTTTCGAGGCTTGGAGGATGGGCTTCTCTTCAAACCACAACTGCATAGATGGTGGAAGCATCAGCAGGAACCACTGGGGACAACCTGCAGGACCTTCTGAGGGCCATGTGGTCCAGGTCTGCGTACAGCAGGCTCTGCAAAGTGGGGAATGAGGCAGGAGGGGCTCCAGTCTACCTCTGTTGGGGATCCAGGTCTGTTTTTCCTGGCCCACTCCCAAGGGTCCTGACCAGACCCTCCCATCCCCCAGTCCTTACCGGCTCCTGGTCCAGGTCCTCTGGAAGCTTAGGTTCCTCCTTTACTGGCTTCTGGGACTCGGCTTTCACAAGTGGAGCTAGATTGGGGGGACAGAGCTGAAGGATTGAGAGGAGGTGACCAACTTGTCTGCTCCCAGCAAGGGCTCAGACGCTTGGAAATTAAGGGGTGGGGGATGTGCGGGTAGGGGAAGGAAAATGGGGTGGAGTTAGGCTCACCAAAGCTGGGGCGTGGTGGAAGCTGGTGCGGGGGCGAGCGCCTTTAAGGGAAGAAGAATCTTTCAGTGCCTGGAGTTTTGTCTGGTTTGTTCCGGGCCCAGCCGACAAACACCCGGCAACTTACCAGCCTCGACCCACAAAACGACTGAGGCTCCCCCCACCATCTTGAGATCGCGTCCCCAAGTTCTGACCTGACCTAGTCTTCTCCAACCACACCCCAGGGTCTGGACCTGAGTTGCTTTTTTTTTCTCTTTCCCGGTCGACGCCGGTTCTGGCCCCGCCCCTCGGGGCTCCGGTCCAGACTCATTAAGCCAGGCCCCGCCCTTCGCGCTCACCTGCGTCGCCACCAGACCATGCCCAAGGCCCCGAGTCCCAGCACCAGCCCAGCGCCCAGAAGCGGGATCAGGATCTGGGGATACACGGACCCTGGGGAAACCGTGGAGGGGAAATGGATGCCGGGCCCGGGTGCGAGGACCCAGCACCCCCAAGGAAGGCCTCCCTCCCTCCACGTGGGGAGGGTTCGAGGGCTTTGCCTTACCCTGGGTATGCCCGGGAGCCCTGCATTCGGGTCCATCCCCCAGCACGTGAAGCACCAAACGGCTCTCATCCTCGTGGCGGCCTCTGCAGACAAAGGTGCCCGAGTCCCCGGCGCTCAGGAGCAGCTCCAGCCGCCGAATACCAGGGTCCAGAGCTCGTAGGCGGCCAGCGAAGGGCTGGAGGGGAGACACCGTGGGGATCTCGCTCGATGAGGCCCACAGGATCGGGCGGCGTCCTTTGGACAGGCCCTTGCAGGTGGGGAAGCTAGGCGCCCAGGCCCAACGGATCGGATGCGAGACCCCAATGCAGGAAAGATTCACCCGGTCCCCGGGACTGCCGTGCAGTGAAGCTAGGGGAAGGGGAAACGGGGGTGATGTTAGGACAAGTCCACAATTCACACACCCCACTCCCGCCTCCTCTCCTCTCTGCTCTCCTCCTATTCTGGATCTTTCTCTATCACAACCGCCAGGCGCCCTCTCCTCCTGCCTCAGTGTTTAAGCTCCACGCCGACTTTCCCAGGGACCGCTTACCCGCGGGGTCGCCTTGGGCCCTCGACAGCAGCAGCGGCAGCAGCTGCAGAAACAGGGCCATGGCTGGGGTGTTATGGGGAGAAGAGGGGAATGAATCGGTGAAGACCGGAGGGAAGCTGGGGTATGGGGGTGGGGGTGGTGAGCGGGTCTGTGGACTCGGATAAGAGCGGGGGGTGGGGCCACCTACTGCGGAGATCCTTCTGGGAATCCTCTCCGCTGACAAGCTCAGTCTTCTAACAATGCCCACTTAAAACTCCGTGCTCTGGCCACTTACAAGCATCTTAGTATTCTTTAACCAACTCCTACAGCGAAGCATTGTGGTCTTAGCATTAGGAATTCTGGAGGCTGGCGGTCTGAGTTCAGATCTTGATTTCACCATCTGCTAGCTTCATGATGCAGGCAAGTTGCTTAACTCTTCCGGGCCTAAGTTGGTTAAAAGCACCTATCTGGCAGAGTATCATGAGAACTAAATAAAGCCATACCTGTGCTTAAAACAATGACTGACACAAGGGTGCACTACTCTTGCCATTGTTATCACTATTTCTTTTCTTATTTTAGCCTCCTTCCCACCTCTGAGTGCCCATACTGTGCCTCCAGGCCATCGTGCCCCACCCAAGTTGACAGGTTTTGATTTTGGAAGCACTTCAGAACAGGTGCATATGCCCCACACCCAGGACTTCAGGGTCTCCCTCTGGTCTCTCGCAACTGAGTTCACACAAGCCAGAGTGTAACCAGGGCAAGAGAACCTCCAGGGGGGCTGCTGCAGCCTTTCCTTAACAGGCCATCCCAGCCCCTTCCTCCACTGCTGTGATAGCACAGAAACTCTGTGACATCCCGCAAACCTGGCTCCTTCATTCTGTGGATGAGCAGGGGCAGGGCAGAGAATCAAAACTAATATGGTCGCTTTTATCCTCAATTTCTGTTCACATGGCCCCACCAATAACCCCAAATTTTGCAGTCATCTTTGGTCACACCCTATATTGTTCATATCCCAGGAATCAGTAGACCTTGCCATTATGGGACATTTGGGGATGCCCCTTCAAAGGACTGGGGGTTGGGGGGAGATTAGGCAGGGGGGCTAGAAGATAGGGGGGAGGTGGCGCAAATGCAAATCTGAAATGAAACCAAGGCCCAAAATTGAGTTGGCTGCTAGTGCCCCTCCCCTCCCACAACCCTCTCTCCCATTCCCACAACTCCACCCACTCCTCAGTCCCTCCCCATGTCTGGTCTTTTCTAAAGTCAACTCAGCTGTGCTTAGTGAAGAAGGAGGGGCCACAGGAGGCAGGGGAGGGAGGGACCGTTGAGAATTATAAAATCCAAAAGACTGCTCACCTTCCAGAGGTGGCTTCTGAAAATCTGTCTGCTGCTTGTCGCCCCTCTTGCCGAGATCCTCACCATGAAAGGCCTTCTGCTGCTTGTCCTGGCTTCTCTGTTCTGTGGCATCTCAGGTAAGCACTGGGGACTCCATGGCCCTGGCTAACCCACTCAGAACTTTTATGCCCCACCCTCTGCCCCCTCTACCCCTATTCAGCATCCCATGTGCCCCTCAGACCCACTGCCCCCTCTCCCCACCCCATCCTGTGCTCTTAGGATGGACCTCCCTGTGTCCCTGTGACAGGGTCTTTGATCCAATTCTTCATACTCCCCTTCCCCTCCAACTCCCCTCATCTGACCTGCCAGGGCTCCTGCTTTACTCTTCTTCACTCCAAAGTACACCCCACTTGGAAATTCTGATATGGGGCTCCCCTGCCAGCCCCACTCTAATACAAGCTTTCCCAAGATCCAGCTTACCTGCTTTCTCCTCTAACCACTTACATACAATCGGGTGTCCTTTCAGAACCCAGGAATTCAGGCTTGGGCTTCCTCTGCACCCCCAACCCCGCACCTGTTCCATTAGGAACTTCTTGATCAGTCCGTTGGCAGTGACCTTTCTTTGTTCGCCCCTGGTGTGTGTACACTCCTAGCTAGGTGTAGAGGATTCCAGTAACCTCGTAGAGCCTCCTGAATCCCGGCAGGTTTCCCTGACCTACCAGGGCATTCACCAGGGATGTCAGGCTGTTCACCCCACACACACCCTCAGTGGGTTTCATTGAAGTACATTCACCTCACTCATCCCTCAAACTTTGAATTCTCTGAGGCAGGAATTTTAGGGGTACCATCTGCTGTATCCACACTCTCCATATTGTAATGTACCCAGCATAGATCAGAAGATCTACTTCCCAAATACTCTTCCTTTCTGTCTGAGAAATACTGGGGCGAAGGGATTCCCAGCTCTGGTTCCTCTTCCCACGCTCTTGATGGGCCCAGAAGGTGAAAAGTCATTTACTAAAGCTGGTCACAGGTGGATTTCTTGTTAAGTTCCAAGTGTTGTAACCTCTATGGTTTTATTTTTTACCTTCCAATTTCCCCATGTATGCTCCAGTCTTCTGAATTCCTTCTTCTGCTCCACCCCACCCCTGCTCTTTCTTTATTCCCCCACCTTGTGGTCTCACATTCCACCTATTCATCTAGCCTCAACTCTCCCCCCAATTGTTGTTGATAGCTCTGCCCCCCTTGACTCATTCACAAAGGGGGTGGAGGGAAGGGAGATTTTTAGGGTGTGGACTATTCTCAGAGCAACAACCTCACCCTCACCCACTTCTACTTTTGCTGGATTAGTCACCTGTCCTGTCCCTGCCAGGCCAAACAGGTTGAAACACCTACTTGATTGGTTCTTCTCCACCCTGCCCCCCAGCTCAGCTCATCCCCAAGTGAGTCACCCCATCACCTCAGCCTGACTTGTGTCTTTCCAGCTCAAATTCGCTGTCACTCCTGCTACAAGGTCCCCATGCTGGGCTGCATTGACCGCCAGTCCTGCCTCCTGGCCCAGGGGCAAAGATGCCTGACCACAAACGTGTACCTTGGTAATTTGCCTGATTTCAGGGATAGGGGCCTGCTCAAGGAGGGACATTATGGCTGGGGAGGAGGCGGGGCAATTAAGGACACCACAGCCAGCTAAGACAGATGAAATAGAGAATTGCAGCAATGATGACATTTGTCCAAGGAGTATAGGTGCCAGACACCATTCTTTGCCTTTACATGGGTTGTTTACATTAAAATCCATGACAGCTCTATGATGTAGGTACTGTTTACTATACGGAGGAAATAGCCATAGGAAGTGACAATAACAGCTCCAAGGTCTCACAACCAGCAATAGAACCAGGATTGGGTAAGGGGCCCAGGGAAAGAGGTTCAGGAATATTAGAGTGAGAAGATATAGGGGGAGATTCAGGGGCAGAGCTGGGATGGAATCTCCCCTGGGTGGGTGCACAGGATGGAGAGGTAAGCTCAGGAGTGCCAGCTGCCCATCCTAGCTGACCCCACTGCTATTCCTGCCCCCAGGTAAGATGTGGCTTTATTCCAATCTTCGATGCGGCACAGAGAAAGAACCCTGTGTGGAAGCCCTCAACCAAACCAACCACAAGCTGGGCCTGACCTACAACACCACCTGCTGCGATAGAGACAGCTGTAATAGCCCTGCACCCCGCCCCACGCCCGGCCTGGCCCTGGTCTTCCTCACCTCTTTGGCTGGCCTTGGTCTCTGGCTGCTGCACTGAAACTTGCTCCATGGCTGGCCCTCCTCCCACCTGCCTCAGCCTTGGCCATATCCCTGGCTTCCCCAAAGGGTCTCCCCCTCGCCCCCTTTGCTCTGAAAAGCATTTCTCAAGATCCTTCACATTTCTTTAATTAGACAGTGGTCTCCCTGTCCATCCTCCCACCCCGTGCCCTCCACTCTGCTTTTCCCAAGCCCCTCCTCATTTCCCTCTAGACCACGCCAGACCTTCCACTGGCCCCTAGAAGGGTTGCCCACTTTGCCTCCTGCACTCCCCTGTGTCCTGCTTGGGGAAGGATTGGGATTCCTGTCCTTGGGAAAGGTTGGTCCTGAAACGGGGGTTCTGTCATGCTCCTGATGAGGGTTCCTAAAAAGGATCCGATGACCTCAAATCCTGGTTCCCAGTGTATCCCATCCCCATGCTCACCTCTTTTCATTTTGAATAATAAATGTCTGTCTCTGATTAATTGTGCATTTATTGTCAGAAGACCTGTTCTCCTCCCAGGAAATAACACTCAGGCCCCAACGTTCACCGAATTCTTTAGGGAGTATCTCAGGGAGGCTTGACCGTGAAATGGAGAAACTGGTTCTTCAGGCCTTCATACTCCTTTCCAGTGTCTGGGGCTGGCACACAGGCCCCAGTGTTTACAGAAACAATCCTATCCTAAATTTAGACCACACCTCTGATGTACTGCCAAGAAAGAGGAGCAGCCTGGCCTGAGGGCTCCCCAGAAAGAGTAGGAAAGTTGCATGGGACATGGGGATGGAACCAGGCCCCTCTTTCCAGGTCTCAGGCCCTCTGTCTAGTTAGTGTCATACCTCATCTGGGCTGGTTGCTAAGTGGGATACCAAGCCACGCCCCCAGTCACAAGGCTTACATTTCTTTTGCAATTCAAAATAGTCATGGTGAGTCAAATTGCAGCGGAGAGGGGGGGAACTAACCCAGACAGCTAGGCTCAAGGAATGCTGGTGGCCCCACTCAGGCATGCACCTGCTCTCCACAGAGATCCTCATTGAGGGAAAATTCTCCAGCAGTGGAACTTAAGGCACGGGGCAGTGCTCTCACTTAGGGCAGATTATCCCTCACCCTTTGGGGTATAGTGGTTTGGGGCTTATGGAGTGTACCATCATCAATAAGCCCCATTATGCTTGGTAACCCCCCAAACCAGAGTGTGGATGACCCCACGCTCCCCTTCACAAAACATAGATGGAATTTTCCAGGCAGCTCTTGAGTGGTGGATAGGCTTTAATGGCTTACAGAGAGTGGTGGTCTTCTCAGTTCAGACTGCACTCACTCCCCTGCTCCCTTCCCTTCCTCCTACTCCACTACCCTCTCCAGAGTCCTGGTAAGAGCCAGGCCAGGGCGGTGGCTGCCACCGCCAGGATGCATGCCTGGGCCCCAGGCACAGCACTGTTGCACAGGTCTCCAAAGCAGCAGTCTCTGTGGGTTGTATAGGTCGTGTCTCCCACCAGCTCTGTCTCCACTTGGTTGCAATGATGGGCCGCCACGCAAGTTGGATGGTGATGAATCAAAGTCACTGAAGCTGAGAGAAAGGATGAGACCAGGTTGTTAGACCCCTGGCCTGGGGTCTAACAGGGCAGAGCAGATGTGACTTCAAGGAGCCCAAAGGAACTCTCTCCCCTCAAAAAACTTCTCTCTAAAACCAAGTGATCAGGGGCCCTCCCTGGTGGCACATAGATTGAATGCACAGCACTATGAAACTAGAAGCTAGCAGCAGCTGCTTCAGCTCTAGTATGATCCCACAGCCTGGAGGTGACCCACATGATGCTGCAGACCTCTCCTGTCATTTTTGGCAATGGGAGTCCACCCAGAAGCCCACATACTCCCCTCAGCAGTGTACTTCCTCAGTCTGCCTGTTCTGCTCCCCACTCTGTCTCTGGTGAATCCTCTAATCCCCTGCACTTCTGGCCTGTACCCCAGTTCTATGTGCATAAATAAATAAATCTTAAAAAAAATGATCAGAGTTAATATATACATATATGTATATATCTATATAAAAGATTATTTATGCAAACAAGATCTGGGGTACACGGGAGGGAGGGTGGGAGAACTCACAAGAGACAGCGTGGGGAGCAGAACAGGTAGATCTACTGAAATACAATGCTGAGGGGAGCAGCAGGTAAGACAAGAGAGGTCTGCTGTATCATGGGTTCAGCTCCAGCTCCCTAGCCAGGAATGCACTCATGATTCAGTGGCTATCAATAGTTTCATAGTGTTTAACCCTTTGTACCACCGGGAGACCTCCAGAGCTAATATATTCTGGTGAAACACACCAGAAAAGACCAAAAGCATTTCGGTGATTTTCCCCCTCAACATTCCCAACCTCAATATAATCGTCAAAAAAATATCAGATAAAGTCCAAATTAAAGGATATTCTATAAAATCAGTTCTCGTGTCTGTTCAAAAGTGTCCAGGTCATCAAAGATAAAGAAAGACTAAAAATCTTCACAAAAGGAGACCAAGAAGGTCTAAGAACTAAATGTAACGTGGGCTTCTGGGTGGACTCCCAGTGCCAAAAATGAGCCTGAGAGGGACAGTGGCTCCCCTGAAAAGGTCTAGAGGTCAGCCAGCCCTTTCTGAGGCAATGTTACTTTCCGGTAACTCTACTATGGCTCTGTGTAAGATGGTAACAGAGGAAGCTGGGAGAAAGGATCCGCAGACACCTGAACTATTTCTTGTGACTTTTCTATGGACCTAAATTATTTCAAAGTAAAAAAAATTAAACATACACACAATAATATATCTCCCTGGCCCTTCATTGATACTTTAACGGATCCCTGAAAGTTGGTTTCATATTTTGGCCCCTGACTTGCAGAAACAGAGCTTTTCTAACCATTTGTGAGTGAGCGGGCCTAGGAGATGCTGGGGAGTGGGGGTGGGGTAGAGGTGGGGGGATTGGAGCATTAGGAGGGCTCTTTGCGAGTGGCCCGGTGCCAGCTGCCTTACCCGGCCGGCACCATCTGCACTGAGCCCGACTGAATCTGGAAGGTCCTGAAAGCCAGAAGGACTGAAGTGGGGCGGGAGGCAGGGAAGGGCTGGGGGACGATAGAAAACTGGGCACTCACGGTTTCCGGAGAGCTTGGTCTGCACCGGGCCTGGCTGGGGCTTGCGCTCCAGGAAGCCACAGCGCTCGCCCTCGCGGCAGGTGGTCTCTTTGCAGGAGCTGCCCGGACCTCCTGTGCAGTCGTAGCACCGCATTCGGTTTCCTGGCAGGAGACAGGACATGCTAGACTTGGGTTCTGGGAAGGGGAGTTTGGCAGAGCGGGACAGGCCTGTTAGGGCGCCTCGGCTGCCTCCTTACCCAGAGCAGCCCCCAGCAGGGTGCAGAGCAGGATCCAGAGTCGGGGGTTCATTGTGCCTGCCAGTGTCTGTCTCGCTGCTCCCTCCCACCCACCCCCCTCCCTGACCCGGCACTGCCAGTCTTATACCCCCCTGGCCTTGGACTTTATGGGGTAATAAAAAAGGGAGGAAAGAGTCTCCCCCAGAGGGCACCAGGGGCCCCAATGGGGACAGGGAGGGGCTCCCTAGGAGAAAGAGCAATGAGCATCCTCTGGAGCCCTTGAACTCCTGCATCTTCTGCAAACATCCCCGCAGTGGTGGCCCTAGAACATCTGGGGGGGGGTCTCTGTGGCTCTTTCAGTGGGGCCCCAAGAGTGTTCCTTTTCCAAATACGTACCTGTGTGCGATCAGATCTTCTTCATATACTTTAACCAAAACAACATAGTCCAACAAAATGCATGCAAAAGCAGCTTTCTTCTGTGAAGTGTGAGTCTATGAAGACTCCCCCAAATGTAAGGCAACACCACTCTTCCGTGTTGCTGGGAAAGAAGTTATTTCTTATGAAACCATGGTTTATTAACATGCAAAAGTTTATTATTTGTTTTTAAATGAACCTATTTTAAACGTTCTGTCTGACACAGCCAATAGCGACATAACTCACACAAAGAAACGCTGCTTCGGGGTCTTCAGTGCTTTGTAGGAGTGTAAAGTGGTGCTAAGATATAAAAGTTTATGGACACTGCTGCTCATGGACACCTGTGTCTCTGCTGCCCACCCAGCGCCCACCTCTCTCCTCCTGGTCTCCAAGCAGGCTTTCCTCTTTCCCCCATCCCTGAAACCTCAATCTTCCGAACCCTAGCACCTTCCACCCCAAATTTTACCCCTGCACACCTTCCTAGTCATTGGACCCGCACCCCCAACCCTACCCCAGTCCTGGTGGGAACACATCCTTCCTCTAGCCTCACCCGGTGATGGATTCTTTCGTCCAAGGTAGTAAAGCTGGGAGGGATAATTATGGGGTGGGAATGTTGAGGCTTGGGGGAATCAAAGGGATCTGAAGCTGGGTGGGGTCCCGCTTACAACTGGGCTTTGTGTATAGGGAATGGGGTGGGAGGGGAGATTGTTGATGCACACGCAAACACCACACGCAGATCTGGGCCAGGGCTGTTTAGGAAGGTGACCTTGAGAGACGTCAACACAAGGGAGGGGGGAGGGAGAGACGGAGAAAACAAAAAGGAGGCAAGTTAAGAGAGCAGACAACAGCTTGGAGATGAGGGGAGGGGAAGGAAGGGAGGGGAGGGGAGGGGGGAGGGAAGGGGAGGAGACGTAGAGGGGAGGTGACAGACACTACTCAGGAGTGGCAGACACAGCTAGCTAAGAGACCAACACTTTGAGAACAGAGAAGACCCTGCAGGCAAGAGCCGACAGGGAGTGGGAGTGGTGAGAGGCCGGGGGTGCGGTGCTGGCAGGCTGGGCCCTACTGTCAAACTGGTGAACTTGGTCTTGGCACCTCTCCAAATTCACCCCTTAGGTGTGTTTATTTACCCGTCGTCCCCGCTTGATTCTCTAACTCTGGGAAACTCAGGGGTACAGCTCACATTCTCCCAGTCTCCAGAGCCCTGGGATCAGTCATGGGTACCTCCAGCATCTTCCTCTGCAGTCTGTTCCTCTGTGGGGCTCTTGGTAAGGGGGGCAAGGGAAGGGGTGGCTGAGGGCTGGGGCAGGGTCTTGTGGAGGAGCTTGAGAGCTAGGGGTGCAGGGGATGAGGGACTAGAAGAGGCCAAGCGGAGTGCTATAGGGGTGCTGGAAAGAAGAGCTCCCAGGGAACATCCTGGGAGCAGCCTCAGCCCAGGCTGATAAAGCAAACAGGAAAAGTTGCCTTTCAAAAGAATTTGAGAATAACAGTTCCTTCCTGTGGCATCTCTGCCATGCCTTTACCTCTCCGCCTCACCATGCTGGGCTAGTCCATGTCAATTCTTCTGTTCTCATCTGTCTCTCGCACCATCTGCTGAACTTTCTCACTGCCCTCGCAACACCTGTCTTGCTTTTTATCATTCTCTGTGTTCTTCCAATTCTCTGTCCACAGTCCCTGCATCCCTCTTGCCTCTGGGGCTTTTTCTCTCCCTATGTGTTCTCCCCTCCCTTCCCTGCGTCTTTCTCTACACTGTGCCCTTCTTCCTTCCTGTACCTTGTATGTCATCCCTTCTGGGATGGGGGCTCAGCCCCTCTCCCGGCCCGTTTGCCTCTCCTCCTGTCCTGATTCTCCTCAAACCGCAGGCCTCGCCACATCCCCTAGCCCAGGGCGGCTCTGTTACACCTGCGGCTTCACCAAGCCCTGCTACCCTGCTGTCACCAAATGTCAAGATGACGAAGCTTGCAGCATCAGTACTGGCACCTCAGGTAGGACTCTGGCCCAAGAGGCCTTCTCCACGGTTCCCTATCCATCCATCCTGCCTTTCCTGCTGTCTCCTGGCCCTCACCGCCTTCCTGTCTCCAACTCTGTATCCCCCACCCCCCTCCACAGAACACAATGAGGTCATCCAGCGGAAGGGCTGCCTCCCACGTGCCCAGTGCTCCCTGCCTGGCCACACCACCCACCGGGAGCGAAACTATGCTCTGCGGCACCACTGTTGTGAGCAGGATCTGTGCAACATGGCCGCCAGGCTTCAGGGCACCCCCAGCCCGCTCCTCACCACCCTGTTGCCCCTCCTCACCAGCTGGATCTGGGGAGGCTATCTCCTCCACTAGCCTTGCACCGACCTGCAGCCCTCAACCCAGGGCTCCTGCAGCATCACAGAAGGGCCAAAGCCCTAGAAACACCTGCACAGATTCCAGATAAGTACAGGAACCTGTAGACCTCAGATCCTGGCCCTGCACAGACTCCTCCCAAGTTCTGATCCCGTGGGCAGAGCCCCTGTCCCTGAAGGCACCAGCCTGGAACCCAGGTCCATAAAGAACCTGTCTTTGCGGCTTCTGTTTTCTCCAAATGCTGCTGCTAACGTCTTCTCTCAGCTGTAGGTCTCTAACAAGGCAGGGTCTTGTCCCAGGCAAGAAGACTGAAGGGGCACCAGGCACCAGGAGGCAGAGAAACTTGCTGGGAAAGATGAATTTGGGTGTGGGGAACTCAGGTATGCGGGCTTGGGGAACTATAAAGAGTAAATGTAATTAAAGTGCTATCTGGCAATCTGGTAACATTCCTGTGTGTGTATGTTTGTGTGTGTGCGCGCGCGTGCGCGGGGAAACACACACACACACACACACACACACACACGAGAGAGTTCTCTAAAAACAAATAAACTGTAGCTGCTCAGTGGGTGGGGCTGGGTGCTGGAACCTGAATCTTAATTTTCGCCTCACTCTCATCTCTTGTCATTCGCATCCTTGTGCTTGCCAATAGTTTAGCTTAAGCCACTGCAGCATGCAAGCTTCAGGCAAGACTTAGGTGAAAGCTTTTCTCCAGTGAGGCCCAAGCTTAAGCAGAAACCCAAAAGGGCACCTGCCGGGTTTGCTTCTGAGGGTGTGCCTGGGAATCCAGCTCATTTCTGCCTGAAACCAGGGGATGGATGAGTTGGAAACATTGGTGCCCTCCCCTTTCCACCAGCTCAGACTTGTCCCAGGTTCACAGATCGCTGGCAAGCAGGGGCGCACACACACCCCACTGGGGAGTCCACTCACACAAGGAGATGGCATGTGATTCTAGGCTGCCAGGATGCCAGGGTGAGGATAAGCTGCTCCGGATGCTCTGTGCAACAACAGAGCAGTTAGGATAAGGAGGATGTGGGGGGGGGGGTGCAGGGGGCAACCCAAGGCACCCCTATGCTGACTCAGTTCCCTCCTCTTCCATCTAAGGAGTTCTGCTCACTGGCTCTCAACTTCTCATGTCTGGCTTAATTTGGAGGTAACTTAAATTATTTCCGTTCTCACTGTCCCTCACTCCCAGGCTCCCAGAGAGCACTTTGTGCTTTTACTTCTCTCTATCGTTTTTTCCACCCCTTCCCTTACTCTGACTTAAGTGTCTTCCCTCTCTCTTCTTCAGTTTCCCCGGTTTGTCCTTTGGATGCTCAAACTGATTCTCCACCACTGCTAAGCTCTGGACTCCAGACTCCTCTCTACCTACCCCATCCCTTCAGCACCCTGCCACCCAGCTCATGTTCCCCTCAGGCCCACAGTACAGGGCTCAGCTCCACCCCTCCGCTGGCTGCTGAAAGATAGAAGACCACATGTTTTTGTAGGCAACATCATGGAATAATGCTCCCCTTTCCTTGAGCCTCTCCCCTCCCACAACCTCTCAGCCCAACACACACACACACACACACACACATACACACACACACACCCCTTGGCTGCTGAAGACCAGCTGGGCTGTGAAATAGCACTCTCAGCCTCCCTCCCCCACCCTCCACAAAGGGTTTCAGGGGATCCTTCAGGTGCCAGATGGCCAGGGAGACAGCGGGTCACACTTCACAGCAGGAGGTGTTACTGAGATCATCTGGTCTTGGGGACAGGTGGTCTATGGGTTTTACAAAGCAGAAAGACAAATTAAGGACATGTCCATTCTCCATCTCTTCAGAACTAGGGCCCCATTCCCATCCAACCCCAGCCGTCTCTGGGATTTAAGCCTCTGCTCTCCTCATTGCTCCTCACCTGAGACAGGCCAAGTGGATGTTCTCATAGACCTGGATTTCCGGTTTGAAGCGAGGAACCGAGACTTCTGGGAGAGAGGGAGCAACACGAGGTGTGGTAGACCTCACCAGATAACACAGAGGTCTAGTCCTGACCACCTGCCTCCCCTGGAGAAGACAGGCTTAGAGGCAGGGCTGTGCCCAGCCCTCTCCTGGTGTCCACTGACTCACCTCTGCAGTGAGCCACCTGGGCCCTCCACCTGCAGAGCACAACACTGAGGGCCAGGATGGTGAACCCCAGAACTGCTGTGAGCGACAGCATCAGGATCCATGGCACATCCCAGCCCGTGGGAGAGGCACAGTTGGAAGGAAAGTCGTCCGTGGAGGCTGCAGTAAGGGCAAAATTGGAGGGATAAGGAAGAAGGTGGCGAGGGTGTCTATCCCTGTACTGCAAAGAAAGGCTTAGCCCCAGTATCCGGTGGGTTCTTCCAAATGAAACCTTCCTAAATGTTCGTACCCCCAGAATTTACCACCCGGCTTGACCCTTGTTCTAGGTCCCCACCCTGACCTTATAAGGCAACCTCAGTAGAGAATCCCTGCCCCGCCACCCCCAACCCCACCCATCAGGGACAGCGAGTCCAAGAGCGGACCATTGCTGCAACTGAGACGTTTCCTCATTCCCTTCATAATAATCCACCCTTTCAAGAAAAAATGAAGTGCCTCCCATCTATTTATTCTTCCTCTCACTCCATAAGCATTTGCTGATGCCCACCACATGCCAGGCACATTATTGGGCACTGAGGGTGTAAAGGGAAATGAGATCCATCTCTGTCCACTAATTGGCCCTTGCTTACCAAAATAACGGTCATTTGTTCCTCCCTCCTGCCTTGTAAATGGGGTATTTTATATCCAGTAGTGTTTTTTTCCTCTATAATGGACTTTTTATATAAAACAATTATACTTTTTTTCTCCTGCCTCCACTGTCAAAGGGCCATTATAACATCAATGCGTATATATCTTTTCTTCAAAAGACAACTCGCCCAACAATCATTGTTATTTTCTTCCTCTCTGCTAAGAGATATTCCAGAAAAATTACAGATGACTATTTCTAAACAAATGTGTATTCCACCAGAATCTTTCTCCTTCTTGGCTAATGGCCTGTTCTGTGGGAAAGCTGACTTACCCAACACCCTCTTCTTACGGAAGGTGGTCTGTTTCACCAGAAATCACCCCCTCTGGGGCCTTCCCCGGTGGCCCAATGGGTTAAAGCACAGCACTATGAAGCTATCCACAGCCACTGCAGTGTGAGTTAGATCCCCAGCCTGGGAGCTGACCCACATGGTGCAGCTGACCTCTCCTGTCTCCCCTCACCTCACCCCCAACCCGCTCCCCTCAGCAGTGTACTTCGTCAGCCTGCCTATCCTGCTCCCCACTCTGACTCTGGTAAATCCTCTCCCTCCCTCCACCTCTCTGACCTGTACCCCAGTTTTTGGATACATAAATAAATAAGTCTTTAAAAAAAAAAAGTCACCCTCTCTGACCTGGCTAATGACAGATTTGCCTCCACTCTCAACTCCTCCCCTTGCCTGAGGGAGCAGGAGGTGCCAGAGGAAACACCCTTCCCACAGGGTTCCCATGTCCTCCCTTGGTTTACCTGCCAGGGTAAAGCTGATCCCTTTGTTCTGAGGCAAGACGCATTGGATGACTCTTGGTCTATGGACTCTGGGCTCAGGAAGCCCCTCCCCAGGACACACCAAGAGCAGGGCTGCCCCATCGCCCCAGAAGGACTGTCCATGGCCCTTCACAGGGCCTTTCTCCTCCAGCCAGGTCACAGAGTCCAGGCGCCTGGTGGGTGTCACAGAGCACAGGAGGACAGAGCAGGGGGAGCCATCTGCAGCCCTAGCGGGTAACTGGGACCCTGCAGGGAGAGAGGGATCCCTCAGTTCTTTGCCTGGGCTTCTCCAGCCCCTAGTCACCCCGGGGCTGCACGCGTCTACTCACCCCTGAGCACAGACACGTCATACACCTTCCAGTTCTGGTACCTGTGCTGCCGCCCCAGCACAGTGCACCAGTAGCGCCCTGCGTCACCCTCCTTGGACTTTTCCAGCCACAAAGAGTAGTTCGCCAGCAGCTTGAGCCTGGACTCTCTTCTAGGTCTCCAGTGCTCTGGTGCCAGCCTGGCCACCTGGACCTGAGCCACCAGCGCAGTGGAGGAGCCTGTGGCAGGGCTGTGGAACCAGGACAGGAGCTCGTCCCCATGCAGTTTGGGTGGTGTGGGGCAGGGCAGCTCCATTGCCTCCCCCAAGGCCACAAAGATGGCCTGGATGTTATCTGTAGGGAAGGGATTAGGACAGGCCAGAGAGGAGTAACAGGTCAACCACCCCCTCCCTCCTCCTGCCTTCCTTCCCTCCCAGGTTCCCAGACACAAGCCTGGTTGTGAGCCTATTTCTCCAACAACAGCTACAAAAAAGTGAGGTGTCAAGGAGAGAGCAGGGGTGTTCCCACTCCCCCCCAGATGGAGGGAATCCGAAGGAAGAGAGCAAACGCCAAATAGTTGGCAGATGTCCGTTTCTCGACCTCCTAGCTTTCTTTTTTTCTAGAAGCATTTATTGACCTGTTTTTAGTTTCTAAAGGAAATTTTAGGGCCCTCCTGATGGTACAATGGGCCCTCCCTGGTGGTGCAATAGGGTGCACCTTTAGCCTGTACCCCAGTTCTATATGTGTAATAAATAAATACTTTAATTAATAAAATAAAATAAAGTGCAGCTCTATGAAGCTAGCTGCAACATGAGTTTGATCCCCAGCCAGAAAGGTGACCCACATGGCATAGCAGACCTCCCCTGTCTTGCCCACTGCTCCTCTCAGCAGTGTATTTCAGTAGATCTGCCTGTTCTGCTCCCCACTCTGTCTCTGGTGAATCTTCTCCCCACACCTCTGTCCTCTACCCAGTTCTTATATGCATAAATAAATAAATCTTCAAATAAAATAAAGAAAATTGTACATGACCTGGGCTCTCATTGTCTGTAAGCCTTCCCCAGTTTTAGGCCAAGAGGTCAGTTGGGGTAAATCTATCTTTTTGAGTTAGCTGGTTCCCCATAGAAACATTAGCCATTCTTCCCAACCTTGTGACTAGTTGAAGAATCCCCCACTTCCAGTTCCTTACCTGCAGGAGCCTGGGAGCACCCACAGAGAAACAGAAGGAGAAGGAATAAGACCGCCATGAGCAGAGCCTGCCAAGTCCTCAGCCCTGGTGTTCCCAGCCAGGAAACAAAGCCCAGATAAAGACCACACTGCCTGTCAGGAGTGACATGGCGCCTCTCAAGAGGATGAGACGCTGGGAGATAAAGCCTAGCTGCAGTATCTACTGGATAGAAGGAGTTACCACCTTTCTGTCCCAAAGGGGGAAGATTCAGTTCACATTGCTCTGAGGATGGTATCCTCACCCATTGGCTGAGCACGTAGACCTAAGACTCTCCATGCTAAGAGGTCTGAGCAGAGGTCTGGTGGCTGCCCACGCCCACCTGTCTGGAGGTATTTCTGTGTTCTCTTCTCTATCCCTAAGAGGTCAGCCACGACTGAAAGGTGGGTCTTCGTGTTGGTCTCCACAGAATGGAACTCTGAAAAGAAAAAGAAAAGAAAAGAAAAGAAAAGAAAAGAAAAGAAAGGAAAAGAAAAGAAAAGAAAAAAGAGTAGAAAAAAAGAAAAAAGACTGGAACCCTACACAAGATAGCACCCACAGTTCAGCACCTCACAGTGATTTAAGATGACTTTTCCCATGGCTGCCTAGCATAACAGACCTCTCTTGAGTTTCCAGCAAGTGTATTAAGTTGTTATTCAAGGAGAAGGTTAACACACACACATATGTGTGTGTGTGTGTGTGTTTTCTTTTAAAGATTCATATACGCATACAAGAGCTGGGGCGTCGGTCAGAGGTTGCTTGGAGGCTGTAGGGTGAGAGGATTTACCAGCGACAGAGTGGGGAGAAGAACAGCCTGTACTGAAAATACACTTCTGAGGGGAGCAGCAGCCAAAACAGGAGAGATCTGCTTTTGGCATTGTGGGTCAGCTCCCTAGCCTGGGATCGAACTTATGCAACCCTAAACAACATTTTTAAAAAGATTTATTTATGTATGTATATAGAACTGGGGTACAAGCCAGAATTGCAGGGTCAGTGAGAGGATTCACCAGACAGAGTGGGGAGCAGAATAGGCAGATTGACGAAGTACACTGCTGAGGGGAGCAGCGGGGGAGACAGGAGAGATCTGCTATTTCATGTGCATCACCTCCCTGGGCAAGGATCAACTGTGCTGAAGCAGCTGTGGATAGCTTTGTGCTTTAAGCTGTTGCACCAACAGGGAGGCCCCAAAGGCCATTTATTTTTAACATTTTTTTAAAGATTTGTTTATGCATACAAGAACTGGGGTACAGGCCAGAAGAGGGGAGGGGGTTAGGGGATTCACCAGAAATAGAACAGGGAGCAGAACAGGCAGATTGACTGAAATACACTGCTAAGGGGAGCAGCAGGTAGGACAGGAGAGGTCTGCCACACCATGTGGGTCACCTCTCTGGCAGGGGATCAAACTAGTGCTTCAGTGGCTTTAGACAGCCTCATAGTACTGTGCTTCAACCTGTTATACCACCAGGGAAGGCCTTAACATTGTTTTTGATGAACTGTTCTATGCATACCAAAGACTATCTAAAGCCCAACTGTATAATGGAGTAGAAACATGGAATATCTCACAGCAGAGAAAGCAACAAAGCTGAATCTCTCAAACTAATAGAAGCCAGACTAACACTGAAAGAAGCCAGAAACAAAAAAACACACATTGTATGACTCCATTTCTTTAAAATATTTAAAAATCAGCAATGTATGAGGTTAGAAATCAAGATCTTGTTACCCTTAGGGGGTTGGATAGTAACTGGTAGTGTTCTGGAGAGGGTCTTCCAGATGTGTTTTAGATGATGTGTTTTGGTCTGGGTGTTGATTATATGGGTAGGTTCAACTGGCCTGCTTTTCATTATATGTGCCTGAAATAAAGCTAAAGAGTTTACATGTTATAAGGTGCTAGACACAAGAAAAATAAAAAAAAACTTGTATATTTACTATATTGCCAATTCATTAAAGACCCTCTATCTTGTGTGACAGAATTCTCAGTTTGCTTCCTTTCTTTCATGTACTGGATCATTAAATTTAATGTATTTTAAAGTTTAATCCAATGGTGTCAAGTTGTATGTAAATTTCTGTGGTTTTCTTTTTCCCACTCAACATTACTAAGGTTTTCAGATTTGTCCAGTCTCAAGAGTGATAATTCATTCATATTCTTTTTCCTAGTATTTAAAAAATATTTTATTTATTTATGCATACAGAAATGGGGTAGAGAGGTGCAGGGGTGGTAAGAGGATTCACCAGAAACATAGAAGGGAGCCGAACAAGCAGATGGAGAAGTACACTGCTGAGGGGAGCAGCGGGTGGTCAGGAGAGGTCTGCTGCACACCTCGGGCGGGGATCGAACTCCCGCTGATGCAGCCACAGCTTGGCTTAGCTTCGCAGTGCAGAGCTCCAAACGACTGCGCCACCAAGGAGGGCCTTTCCCAGCATTTTCACACATCTTAATATTGAGTCTCTTCCATGTGTAACTATGGTATAATTATTTATTCAAGTCTTTGTTTATCTCTTTCAATAATTTTTTAAGATTTATCTGATAAGCCAGAAAGAAAAGGAAAAATACTTATGGTTTTACTCATAGCAGGAGTATAAAGGACCAGGGGAGAAAATAATAGTAATAATGAACAACTATATACCAGGTGGAATGGGGAAGGGGATCAAAAATGGTGAGGGGAGGGGAGTGCCCTGGACTGTGGTGACGGCACACAGGTGATCTGGTGATGGGAAGCCCAAGGGGATTACAACTGAGATGGAAAAAGGCAGAAAATGATGTAAAAATAAACTATTATATATATATATATATATATTTTTTAAAGTTTCATCAGGGCCCTCCCTGGTATTACAACAGGTTAGGACGC